AGATCTATTGATGCAATCATTCAGGGGGAAATTGTAGACTCAGCTCATATAGAATCACTCAACTTACCCTGAACGCATCGCGAGCGCTGTAGTACTGTCTGCATGTATTCTGTGTTGTGAGCCCGTTCGTTCTCTCAAAACGTAACTTTGATGCTGCTATTAATATTACAAGTAGCTGCTTATGATACATGTTCATTAGTGGGCTTCATTATATTTGAAGAGTGTATGTGATCACTTGAAGCTAGAACATGATGATAGCATTACAAGTCAGCAATATTCAAACAAAACTTCATACCTATCAGACGCTATGTGGCCATAGGATAGGCCTCTACTCTAGCAAAAAACCATAACCCACAAGTATAATGTACAATTCCTCCGTATATTCGTAAAGTCGCTGATATCCTCCATCCTCTTCCCAGATGTCATCTCAAACAAGCCCATCTACTTCCTCGCGCCTCCCATTCTCACCTTGCCACGCATCTCACCACATTTCTTAGCCACCAGACAGTGATTCATCGCCATGATAAGGCTCTTGTGCTGGTTGCCGCGCACATTGTCTACGCCCACCCAGTTCGGATACGTTTCGCTCGTCGATTGTCGCCACAGATCCTCAAACAGCGATCGCCACGCAGGAGCTGCCAGTTCCAAGATGCTGTGTGAAGGCAGCGCTGCCTGTATCCCTTGCTGAGTTAAAACCCAGTCGGCAATGTGTACCGGACTGTCTGGTGTCTGGCGCACCTCGTGGAACTTGTTCACTTGATCATGAACCATGTCGTGGACGTGTCCAGCGTTGCTCCACTGGTGGGTGAGAGGGAAATTCCTGCCCGTCACGAATCCGTGCTGGCTGCCGGGAAACTTATCGCCATCCAATTGGCGCCAAGTCTCGTCAAAGTTGACGATGACGGCAGAGGACCTGTTGCCAATGAAACGATCGAGGGGCCATTGAGAGACATCCGTGTCGTTATCAGGGAAGCTCATTTGATGCTCCAAGTTTAAGAACTGGGAATACAGAGCCTCTCGGTCTTGTTGATCCAGCGAGCGATAACCATGATCCCCATTCCAAGCCTGATCGCCGTGTACATCCCAGATGATCAGTTCGCCAGGATATCTCCAATTAAACTCGTTGACGAACCCAATCATCTCACTCAGAGATGCCCCCAAATGACCATGGTACATACCAAGTAGGTGGTCGCCGTGTGATTCGTGAAAGTCGTCTCCGATCCTGACAGGACGAAAATCAAGAACACGGATGCCGCCATTACCGAGCTGGTGGCGAAGATGGACGCTTTGAGTCACTGTGTTTGCTTCCGGTGCAAAGCCAAGGGCCCGGGACGTTTTCCACATGCCGGAGTGGTGCGATCTTGGGAGGAGAATCTTTCGCAAGGGAACGTCGGAGAGTTCAGGGAGCATGGATTGCATCCAGTCGATGGGCGGATCATTACTGATGAACTCGCCTTCTGTGCCGGCGAGAATAAAGGCCGAGCCGCCGGGGAATTTGTTCACGCCGAGATCATGTTTGCTGTCTTTGAGATTGTTTACAGAAAACAGTTCTTCCCGAAACCGGATCTTGAGAGTGCTGGGATAGCCGTTGCTGAAGCTGGCCATGAACGACGTTGGCTCCGAGGTGCCCATAAGATGGTACTCAACATCAGCGCCAGAATCTCTCCAGTTAAAAGCCCCCTTTGCCGGCCTGATCCAAACGGAAACAGATTCGCCTGGAAGAATGTATTCGGGGCAGCCAGCTAGCCAGTCGGGCATCTGGTACTGGTGGATGTATCCCCTCTTCCACATGTAGGGAGTGGCATTGATGAGAATCATCCACGTCTCATCCATATTCTGCATGTTCGGGGAGAATAGCCACTTTTTGTCATTTCCGTGCGGAATTTCTGGCGGAGAGTCGAACGGCAGCACTTTGTAGTCCTCGTGCAGGATTACGGGTCGAGAGTTGGGGGTTGAGGATGATTCCTCATCTCCTGTGTGCAGAACAACTGGTCGGGAATTGAGGGGGACTTTTGCTTTGCTGCTGATAATTGGTAGTCCGGCCACTGACGAGGCCAGAACAAAGAAAAATAATAGCCAGCGCAGAGGAGACATGATGATGGTGTCTGTTGTTGCCAACGCTAAGAAGGAGTACTGATGAATTATAGACGAGCAAAGATCTGAAGACTAAAAAAGTATTTTGAGACCCAATTTTGGTAGAAATGATTCAGTTCATAGCTTCGACAGAGACTGGTCCGTTGATCAATGAGACGTATATTAAAGTGACATATCTGGGTGACAGCAAAGATTGACCAGAAGTATAGAGGAAGAAGAAGACGTGAACAGTGATGTCTAAAATGTGAATGTTTGTTTGTTTACATCCTTTATTTACTTATGGAGCATAGCAGAGGCTGTTTTGCCCCATCGTATAGATTGAAATTGGTGTAAAGCTTATCGAGTGCCACCACGACTACAAAATAGAAGACGCTAGAATTATGTACATAATGTGTGCGGTGGCGTTTGTACATTGCGCCGGGGTAAAGTCCTGACAACTTGTACGCCGATAGAACTCCGAAAGAAAAGGTTATTCGGGACCTTGTTGTCGAAGTGATTGCGTATTGGTGTTCTGAAGGCCAAGATATGATTAAGCCAGAAAAGCCACCAAGCAATGCACAGCATAGTCAATGGAATGCCAAATTTCTTGGGAATAGATAAAGTAAATACTTGTACATGAACACGGTCAGTGAGGCTCTAGCACTTGAGAGAATAATGATGACAATCTAAAAGTGATATCTCACAAGTTCCGAAATACTTAAATCGAAGTGCGAGCTTGGACTTTGGGTAGAACAACTCAAGTCTTTCAGTTTTATATATCATTTGTCACTGTTGTTAGCACGTTAAGACCGTGAACAGAGCTATCGATTCGTGGATTTGGCTCGACAATGATAAGGAGGTACAACGTATACAAATGGCCGAGTAGGAGTCTCTATGACTTCTAGTATACGTTTCCCGTTTCGCACCAGTACATGTACATGCACGCCCAACGGCTCAATTACTCTACAAGATTCCTTAGCATATCCAGCAGCCGCTATATTCTGGCGTGGAATATTGTTTTGGAGAACACAAGTCTCTGTAGTTTACGCACTATACGGCGTTTGTACTTGAATCAATACATGCGTTGTGAGCGCAGGAAACAAGCTTTAGCTTTGCCGCACCTTAGGAAACCTAGACTGTATTTGTATGGTTCACGCTTATTTTCCTTAGTGCGAAATGGCTTAGGGGAAGGACATGAAGTTAAAAACAACTACATGTTCGATATACACTTAGTCTGTATCCACAAAGAGGTTGGCATACTTTGTCTCACGGATTCGGTTCTCGGCAAGTTAAGCTGGAGAGACGGCTCGAATTCTAGAACATGCATATTTAAAAGTTATCCCTTTGTCGGTACAAATTATGCACATTTACTAAGCCTAGATAATTTGCTAGAGAACGCAAGATTGATGACGGACGCTAGCAGGGAGAGGTTCGTGGAGCCATAGTTAGATTATCTTTCTAGGTCTAGTATATGTGCAACTTTGGGTATTTCGAAGATTATTCCGTTAATGGAAGTAGAGCCCCGTTTCTACCTCGTCCTGTAAGCCTTATATGCCCTCAAGTGGATACTTACTTTCGAAAGAAACAAGGAATATGTAGATGATCGGTGTTCAGCTCATATACACCGCAACAACGCTGACGTATCTGACCGAGCTAAAAGAGAATCCACTTTCTTTGTGAACCATATTGATTTCCTTTTACGCAACCACAGCCACTTATCGGGATAGTCCAACTCTTTTTCTCCCAGAGGCTGATCTTCCTTATAATATCAAAATGAAACCCTTTATTACTCACCTTGTGCGTTTATGATACAGTCTTAATAGCCGGCAGAAGAGCCTACTGAGAAGTGCTAGCTAGGTACCTACCTAGGTACCGGGTACTTAGTAGAGTGCCCATGTAGCTGTGTACATATTGATGGTATTCATCGAATTAGCCTTGATAGCCCTAGGACAGTATGGGACAAGAGTTCGCCTTTCTCGTCTATGACTGTCAACATTTTTTTCGAAAGGAACAGGGATACACCCCAACTAGCGTGAGACTATTGCTTAATACCTTTTTGTGTCTCGATTTTGCGTAGCTATGGTACCTAGTAGGTAGAGCCGAAATACTCTCTTCGCGCTAATTAATACTAGTAATACCGCCTACATGTAAAGACAGTACAATACACGTACCTTTTAGCAGCAGCAACGAGACTGGTGCTTGGCAGTATTTACGATTTATTGTTCGGGGTAGAACATTGATGCAGGTACCTGTAATTAGTACATGTACCTAGACATTTCATTCTGCTGCAAAAAGTCGTGCACCTATTGCCAACACTGCAGCAAGTGTGGAGTACTACTGGAATCTTACATATGCCGATCCATGGATCGCTTTCCTAGCCTCATGTTGCCTTTGTTATTCGTAATTAAGCGCTGACGGCAAACGCTTATATGCCCGTCGGCCAATAGAGTAAGCCGAGCAGGGTCGCTGAAGAGCGATTCCAAACCGCTACGGCTGCTATTTGGGGGAGCGGGGTCGAGCTTGGCGGCGTTTAGTGGCATGCACTCACTGGATGGAGGGCACTTAATATTGACGGGTGGCCTCTTTCTTCAGCACATGCATGTTGAATATAAGACCACCGGCCCGGTAACATCTTTTTCTTCTTTCTGTGTCACAGCCGCCATCCTCATCCATCGCCTCTGCGCATCGCCGAAGCACAGCGTCAAATCCTTGCCTCAATTGCTCTTAATTTGGTGAGCTCATCAATTTGCACGACTGCCCAGAGCGGGGCACTTGCCAGCTACAGCAGCTAACAGCTCAGCCTCAAACTATTGACCTCCAATTCTGCGGCTCGATTCTTTCTTTCTTCTTCTCCATCTTTCCTTCTCTCTCGTCATACAGCTCCCCGCCGATAGCAGCAGTTTTCCAAAGCGACCCTTCTATTCACAATGTCTGGCCAACAGCCGCAGTACTATCCACGTATGTCTCCAGGCATCACCACCAGCTTCACCAGCTTCACCAGCTTCACCCCACCATCTCCATCTCCAAATACTGACTTGCGCCATCATCGCAGCTCCTCCCAGCGGGCCTCCAGGGCAAGGTTCGTCTGCGACGCCACTGATAAAGACGCAATGCCGGTGGCATTCTAACATACAAGGCGAATAGTGCATTCACCACCGCAGCAGCAGCAACAATATGCGCCCCCGCCTCAGCAACAGCAGCAGTACGCCTCTCCTCCGCCGCAGCAGCAATATGCGTCCCCTCCGCAACAGCAACAGTTTTCGCCGCCTCCCCATCCTCCTCAGGGGACCCCCGGCTATGCTCCGCCGCCGCAGCAGCAGCATACGCCAGTCCAGCAGCAGTACCAACAGCCACCGCCGCAACAGCAGCAGCAGCAGCAGCAGCAGCCACAACCAGCACAGTTTGTTGGAGCCGTATCGACGACCGATGACGTTGGAACCTTCAACGGGGGAAGCTATCGCATCAGTCACCGAGACTCCAATACTATTCTGACTATCCAGCTCGCCAATGGTGCCCCCATACATGCTAAGCCAGGTAGGTTGGGAGAGCGTCCTGGCCAGTTTCTGTGTCTCGATTGACCCTAATCTGACTCCAAATAGGTGCCATGGTTGCCATGTCTCCATCAGTCACCCTCAAGGGCCACATCAAATTTAGCGTCAAGAAGATCATTGCCGGTGGAGAACTCTCCAGCTCTACATTCACGGGACCCGGAGAACTAATCCTCGCGCCCTCATCTCTGGGAGACATCACAAGCATCAGACTAAGCGGTAACGAGACGTGGTCGGTAGGAAAAGATGCCTATCTGGCTTATACCCAAGGCATCAACAAAGACTACAAGCGCCAAGGTTTGGGCAAAGCCATCTTTAGTGGAGAAGGTCTCTTTGTCTATAAGATAACGGGAACCGGCCTGCTTTGGGTTTCCAGTTTTGGTGCCATCATCAGAAAAGATGTGAGTCTAAAAGCATCATATCCTCTTTGCCGGTCTACTCATGCTGACCTTGTAATTCATAGCTTGCGCAAGGCGAAAAGTATATCGTAGACAACGGCCACCTGGTGGCGTGGAACACAAGCTATGTCTTGGAACGCGTCGCTTCAGGCGGCCTTATCTCCGGCTTGTCTTCTGGGGAAGGCCTCGTTTGCAAGTTTACGGGCCCCGGCACCGTCTTCATGCAGACTAGGAACCCACAAGAATTTGCTGCTTTTATTGGTGGCGTCGCTCCTCAAGATGTTTAGGATACTCGAGGATTCTGGTACCCTTTGGGCATGGAATTTAGGACGCAGAGGATTTTTTTCATTTATTGTATCGTTAAAGCGGTTTCTGAAATCTGTACTATCTACTTTGAATCCTTTTTTCTTTTCCTTGGAGTTTTGATATTAATGTTCGCAGTCGGACAGTGCCTTGGCCAATCAATAATGGAGCCTTGACTATCACAATGATCTGTCTATATACCTACTATGCAAAAGCCTTGAGGGAGTCATACATGAAGAGTCAACGTAAATGACTGTTACCTTTTTGCCTTTGCTGTGGCGTGTTCGATAATTGAAATGATAGTATTTTGCCAAAGCCACACGAAGCTTTTTCTCGGGCTAGACAAATCGTCACAAAAGTGTACATCGGTATGGAAGTCTCATCCGATGTACTTGCACTCAAATTAGAGTTATGCGCAGAATGAGTAAATACATTACATGTCTCGTTAAAAGTATAGGCAGGCGTCATTGAGCATATTACGAGTTCAGCTGCCATAGCAAAGAATAGCCACCGTTTACATGGCGCGAAAGTTAAGACCAGACGTTGTTTTGTTGCGCAACACTCAGCTTTTTACAAAGTCATCGTGCCCCAGCTCTCTCTCGCTCTCTCTATCGCTCCCCATCCACCTTCTTTTTGGGACTGTTTCGTATTCCAGTCAACAGATCAGATACAGTCTATCATCAGTCGACTTCTGGGCACTCAAGCGCGAATTTCATTACGGCCATCCAACTTCATCGATCAACTCATCGAGAGATTTCTCTGACCCCAAATATCTATCAGCTGCCTGCCAGCTGGAATCCGCCACAACAACTGGATATCCGCTCCTCAACTTCAAACTGCTGGCTCTCTTCTGCCTTCTTCAATCAATTCTTGCTTCGGCAAGAAGTCTTGAGGCAGCGTTTGCCTTTCTCTCTCTCTCCCTCTTGCAACGAATTCTTGTGCTTCAGTTCCATTCTCAAGTCGCTGTATCTGAAGAGCGTGGTTGTGTGGGCGAAGATTGCAGCGGGTTCGAATCTTGAGACTCGACGACAAAAAGCGCTCTCTCGTTAGCGGTCAAAGCGATTACTAGAATCAGACTAAATATTTACCGACTCCGACAGAATTGTCCCTACTCTATCCAAACTGAATAACCAGTAAGTGGAAACATGCTGCCCCTGAGTGGAACATGGGCTCATATTTCTTCAAGGTTTGAAAATGCCTATCCAAGCCGCTGCCAGCCGTTATAAACGGGCATATCATCCTCCTGTCAACTATAAGAACGCAGCACCGAGGAGTGAAGCCCGCACCAAGCCTTCAGGAACCCCTTATGCCTACCAGCAGCTGAAGAAGTTCAATGACCTGCACGCGTTGAAGAACCCTGACTGGCGAAATCGCCCCTCCGACAACAGCTCATCGGCTGTGGACGATAGCGAACATGACGTTGCAGAAGCGGCCGGTGCTGGGAAGCAACGAGTTGGCATGGATGCCTCTCCGCCAACTCCAGCATTTGCCGTGCAAAACAAACGAGAAACTGAGCTACATCAGACTATCAGCTCATCGAAGGAGGGTGCCACGGCAACCAGCACCTTGAGATATAGCCAGAACGATATTTTCGCCATATCATCTGGAATGGAACCCAAGATACTCAGAGCCATGGAAGAAGAAAAGCCCATTCAGTATCAAGTTCTGAAGCAACTACCTCTCTCGTCCTCTAAAGAACATCCCCTGCAGCTATTCGAAGTTGCGCCTCTGGGCAGCATCTCCGGTAACTCGACCAAACCCATTGTGGATATTCGACCTCTGAGAGGAAACCTGGAACTAAGAAAACAAGGAGTTTCTAGCAACAGCCAAGATGAGCAGCTTACAGCAGCGCTTAGAGCCGCTGACACAACGCCGCTGAAAGTTCGAGCGCAGGTACACCAAGCTCGTGGGCCACATGCAGCATCGAACGAGCCGCGAGCACGACAAGGCTTTTCTGAGACGCACGAGATATATGCCTCGCAAAGTACCAAGGCTCAAGCCCAGATCAACGAGCGTCAGCAATACAAATCGGATGCTCTACCAAATGACACAGACCGGGACGAAGCCTTCCAGCGATTTTTAGAGAAGCTAAGGCAAAATAACAAGGCTCAAGGCAAAAAGTCGCAGAAGCGGCACAGGACGGATAGCGGCTATGAGGATAGCTCTAAGGGATCCCCAAGAGAGAATCCCATCGAGACAGCTTCACACAGTCGCCGGGCACAAGGGCCTAGTCCACCCAAGAAGACTGCCTCTGAGCATCTCAGAAGCAGCCATGTACTAAGAACTGAGAACCATAACCAGAAAGAAGTGGGCAGCAGCTCGGCTGCTTCGGGCGCCTTTTCCAATGAGCCAGCCAAGTTTCAGAATTTCAACCCAAAAGCCAGAGAATTTCTTTCCTTTGCCGTTCGCAGAGACGCTAGCTCTGGTTCCAGATTTGAAGAGGAAGATCTGGAACCCTTCGGGCCATTTTCGACTCCTTTCGCTGATAGAGAAGGCCGGAGAAATGTCACGTCCGTAACAGAATTGACTTCCCTGGGGGACATTGCCTCTGTCCAGCCGCCGCCTCCTTTCGGAACTGTGCCATTTGCTGCTGCGAATGGAGCTACCGACCATCTGACACTCAATAACTCGATGGCAACAAGAATGATTTCAGTGCCTGTAGATCATTTCGGAGGCTCGCTCCAGGGACCAGCGATCTCATTACAGCAACTGTCCTTGGTCAATCCGGCAATGCTTCAACCCCAGCCTGTCTTGCAACCGCTGTCAGGCAATATACTGGGCTATACAGCACCACAACTCGTGAATGCCTCGTTTCCTTTGGCAAACGGCTCTGTCAACCCCTACTTGAACATGCCGTGCGGCCAACTGCCGCTTGTGGGGGGCCCTCCTCATCCACCGCAGTCACTGCCACTCCCACTCCCACTCCCAGTGCCGAAGCCTCGCCGCCCAGACCCGAGAGATCAACAGGCATACGAGGCATGGATTGAGTGGCGCAAGGCAAACCAGCCAGGCTATGCTCATGAATGCCGCATGAGACAGCAGCGACGAGCCCAGCGAAGCACCGATAACAGGGCACCGGGCAGAGTCGCCGTGGGTCACAGGAACTAAGCCCCTGACTTGTCTTGAGGACTGACAGATGCTGCACGGGATAGCCTCATTTACTAAAGGTGGTGCGGTCGGGTACAGCTTGACCTGGCGTTGATTGTGCGACTGGAGGCAGCACCCGCGGTATAGATGTGAGGGAGGGCGTACGTTTCATATGTCTCGTTTTTTCTTCGAACAAGTGTATTATTTCAACTCTGTATCTTTTTCTCTGTCGTGGCGCGTGTGTTCTGTAACATTTATGCAGATATTCGGATCCAACCGCATAGTGGATAACCATGTTTTGGAAGGGGTGGTTCAACGACATTTGTGTTGCCTGTCTGTGGACAGCGGTGCCACATATGCGAAATGAGAATTCGACACCACACACCCTGGGACGATGGCAGCGATATCAACTTGCTACTTGATTTCATTTCTTTTTTCTTGTCTTTTCTCTTTCTCTTGTTGAAGCTCTGCAGCTCAGCTGTGGCTGGTTGTGGGCAGAATTGAGGATGATTTGTACGTTTAGGAGGCGGTAATGGAGCTGGATTACAAGGTACATGTACCTATAACTTGTACAAACGATTGCTAGCTGCTATGTATTTTACGAAGGAAAGAGTAACTGGGCGAATGTCTTGTGTTACGGGATGGCTTTTAGGGTCATTGTGAATTAGTTAGGCTACAATGTATTTTCATGTTTTCCTATCCTGTTTCTGCTGCTGCTGCGAACTGTGTGATACCAAGGAGACGTAATCTAGAATTTGTACGGTAGATACCAAGAACAATTGTGAATAGGCTTAGCTCAACATGTGAGACTTTGGGCGGCAAGGATGGGCGACGAAGCCGGGCAGGATTTTCTGTCTTAATTAATGAGCTATGGAACTTTTGCAAGATTATTACGAGGATGAAGTACTCCGCCCCATGAAAAAGTCGAAGCAAGCCCGAAATAGTGCATGCGTGCTAATAGCGGCAGAATAGGAAAAGAAGGGGGAGAGACACTGCCACGCGTGAGTATGTCTTAGACATGCATGGTATAAATGCGCTCTCGCTCTGACTCACTTTGTATTTGCGAATGGGGGTTTTTCTATTAATTTTCTATTATAATGCTTGAAAAAGATGTTGATCTACTTATCAATTGCTTTCGTCCTGTTTGTAATGAGTCCGATTTTCTTGAGCCATACTTGCTGCGGTGGCTGTTCCCCCCTCCTGGCCTCTTTTATATACACGGAGTTTGCCACGGGATGTTGTGTAACTTGTGATTGTGTAACGTGTGTTTGTGGCGGGAAGGATTTTTGCTTCGCTTTCGCTTTCGCTGCGGGCTATACGTATCCCGTCCAAGTTTTTTGTTGATATCTGCTCATCAAAGAAGCTAAACAAGGGGGCTAGAAGGCCCTGAGAGGCAGAGTAGAGCAAGTATGGTAGGTCCCCTTTTCGGCAGAAGACTTTGCACTGCCTGGGAGGTTTTTTTTCTTTTTTTTTTTTTTTTTTTTTTTGGCCTTTGTATTTGACTACCTGAATGTCCTTACTAAGGTACTACTAGTACCTAGTAGGTAACTCCCATCTTATTTCGGTGAGCGTACAAGAACATTGCCTTTTTCTTCAATCTTTGGGAAAACTTTGGAGGGAACCGATTGGTCGATGAAGAAGAGAAAAGTAAAATAAATGCTTGTCTCTTATTACCATGCTTGGCTGAGCTTGCTGCCTAGGTATGTCTGGTGTGCACCGCCTTGTACAAGTCCTCTACTTTGATACCGCGTCTGTATACCTTGTACTTCGATATTGTCCCCCCTCCATGTATGCACATTCGGAGAGAAGCACTTGTTACGATTTGTCCAGGAGGGGCGTGTGCGTAGCCTCCAAGACGTGCGCATCAAACTCCAACTATGTGCGAAAACAAGTGAAACAGCATAAAGACATAGATTACCAAGAACAACAAACAAGGCACAAAGCTCGAGAAAGGTCGGTGAAGTAAACAAAGAGCCTCAAATGCGGCTCTGCATCCAGTCCACATTTGCAGAATTACTTGAGCCTCAATCTATCCTTTTTTTTCCCCTACCTCATACCGACACAAGCTTCTTTGTGCGCGAGTCACGCGCTATGCATGCGCCTTTAGTTGCTGCATGAGAAAAAAAGATGATGCGAGCGTTAAAGCGTGTATCTGATTCGACGCAGTTGAGCCTCATCGCTGGGTGCTAGTGCTCTTTCTGCTAATGCTGCCACCCCCTTTGGAGAATGGCGGTGATTGCTGTGCGGCTCATGGAAAAAAAAAAAAAAAATCACATGTAGGTACTTTGCAGATATAGGCAGTTAATTGTACCTTTTGTATTGCAAACACCTACTATGCTTTTGGGTGAAGGGGGAAAAAAAAAGATGCTGATCGTCTTATTGCCAGTGCCCAACACATACATACTCTCGGAAAAAACAAGGGCATAAACATATATCACGCCGCATACACGTATATCAACCGCCATCGCAGCATAAAACAAGGAAATATAGAAAAATCAAACAATAAGCAAAGCAATTTTCACCATTTTCGTCAATGTCACTCTCTCTTTGTTTCCAACATACATACATATATATACATGCACACCCCCCCTCCCTAAAACAACACAAAGCCCAAAAAAAACTCCTTCCTCCTAGGGCTGACAAGGCAGATAGATTGCCTACTGTATCCCTTCCCCTGTTGCATCTTTTTTTTTCCTTCTTCTTAAATTTCCATCATTCTCAACACGCCCCCCCCTTGAATAATAGGCAAGTATTGTATAAAAAAGTTTAAATCACCAACCTACAAGTCAAAAACCCGCACGGCTCTGCGTGTTTGCTTCAGCACCTCATCATCTACAAACAATGATTGGTTGGCAATCACTCCCCTCCTCCTCGGCTGAAAGGTCCGGCGCCGAGATTCCATAATGCTACTCGCCTCGCCTTGTTTATGTTGCTTTATCGCCTTTTTCTGCACGGCAGACCAACAGAAACAGCCCCCACACGGGATTGTAGTGGATGGTGGTGATTGTTGCTGGCTTTGCATGTTTGAGGCTCTTTGTCTGCCGAGCCCGAAAGTGCGGGTTGAACTTTGCGAGGCTGAAACCCCCATTGACCGTTTTGTCCCTTGTGGAGAAATGTATTTAGGATTTTTGAAAGCACAAAGCCCCGGGAGAAAAACATCAGACGATGGATGATGGGGGTTGTTTCGTAGTTTGGGGGATTAATCCTAGGAAACCCGACTTGCTGGGTCAAAGTAGGATTGTGGCTTGGAGAATTCTCATAGCCGGGGCTTGGCCCAAGATTGAAAGGATAACATTGAACATAGTTGTAATTCAGCATCAGCCAGTCCTACGAATGAAACGATGTTTTGTGATTGCGAGTAAATTGAGGAAAGAAATCGTACTTCATTTTCTAACTGCTCCGCCACCCCTGTCTACCCATTACAAATGAAATTTTGACCTCTTTTGAAGAATCATGGTATCATAACAGGACATGTATTGATGAGAATAACAGCAAACAACACACAAACAATAACAGAAAGAAAAAAAAGTACAGACGTGAGAAATAATAGAATCATATGCTAGATAAAGCCAGTGTCCTGAGAGACTTTACGATCAAGTTCATGCCAATGCCTCCCATATGCACTAGTAAAAAGCTAAAACCAAACCGTATTGATGAGAAGAATGCAACACCGTTGGAGGTAAAGCCTACAGTTCGCCTTCAGAGGTGGCTGTGACCATCCTGTATTCTGTGTCGCCCTTCAGGGGGTCGCAGAGCTCCCATCCCATGTCTGTTTGTCTGACGATGCGGATTTCGGATCGCTGCGCCCATTCGGTCAAAACGTAATCGTGAAGTCCTCCAAACTCCACCGGTGGCTCCTTGCCGGTAGCCGCGTTTTCAAAGTGCTGCTGAGCTACATGCTCCATGCGCTCGTCCCAAGCGTTGCTGCCCTTGAACGACTTGTTGCAGGATTTCACGGGGCAAGGCATCCAGGTTGGGAGCCGACACCGGATGCGCAGAGCGTCCTCTTGCATTCTCTTGACCATGAAGTCAGATCTGGCGTCTGCACCCTTGTAGTCGGTTGTGCTCTGGCCGGCAATGTTGGAGTGCATGCGCCGAATGTGCTGGGTGTACAGGTCCTTGCGGTTGAAAATGTTGCCGTTCGGCACAAGGCCCGCACGTTGCTGGAACGACGATTGTCGCTCATCGGCGCATTTGCCCTCCATGCAGACCCAGTATTTCAAACCCAAGTGCTTCGTGCTAACATGGCGCTTCCATTCGTTCTTGGCATCGAACTTGGCGGTGCAGCCCGCATAGTGGAAGACGCAGATGTAAGGCCGGGGGTGGACCTTGCCCGTATGCTCGTCAAGCAATGCCCGGCTAGGGAAATGCTTCTTGCACTTGTGGCAGAATTTTTTGTTTGCACTGTAAACCTTGCGCTTCCTATCACCCTGTGACGACACATCGTGACCAGCAGAGGCTTGGTTGCCAGTAGAGATGGGATCGTAGCGATACTGCGAGGCGCGGCTGCGTCTCTTCACCACCCTGGTAGTCGACGCCCACTTTTCAGTGTTTGGTGGCATGCTCTCTTCTTTGATATGGCGGGCTGAGTCGACATAAGAAAGACTAGTGCAGGGAGAATAGTGGCGAGCGCTGGCATTGGCAGCATCAATATGTGCGCCATGGACACTGATATGGCCCAGAGAGTTGCAGCGGGGAATAGTGCCAAACATGTATTGTCCGTTGAACTCATGGCTTTCCACATTGTAGTATGTTGGGTTTGCAACATGCTCGTGAACGTCTTCGTCCTGTGAGCCTGGATAGTAGCTGACCTCTGGCTGCTTGGTGCTGGATTCGTAATAATCAGAGTCATAGGGAGTTCCCAGAGTGATGACATTGCCATGTGCATCTGGTGGCGTCGGAGGCGCGTCATAGCTACCATCGCTGCCAACAGATGGGCTTTTCGCCAAGCTAAACACTGGCGAGCCCTGGAAAGAAGACGGCGACCCATTTCGTACACCATCAGCTTGATAAATGCTGTCGTTGCGAGTATCACGAGTCAGCCTAGGGTCGAGACAAATGTCGACTGGAGACTGTTGAAAGCATGATGACAGCTCTGAGACTGGCTGCCAACGTTGCGAGCTAGCGTCCGGAGAGTTTGAGTCTCCGAGCGAAGGGTCAATTGACTCATAGAAAGTGTCTTCTCGGATGTGTTGACTGTATGGTGAAATGGATGTTGCTGGGTATTCGGTGGGCACTTGGCCATAGCCATAGTGAACCCCACCGTTTCTGGCGCCGGTTGCGGAGAAGGAAGACATTGATGAAGAGAAAGAAGAAGGATGAATGGTGGTCGCAATTTGAGTGTCTGCCCTTTTCCCTGATGGCTGAAAGGGGGAAAAGAAGCCAAGAACTGCACTTTAGAAGCAGCAATGGCTAGTATGAGGGATGTTGAGCTAGCTTTGCTTTGCTCAAGGCGCAAGGATGTGAGTAGTGAAGAGTGTGGCAAAGGATGCCATATAAGAACAGCTCAGGCAGGTGGAGGCTATTGCTTCTTTTATCGTGTGAGGATATATAAAGTATGAAAGAGGCAACAAAGGGCTTGGTCTGTGAGTGGGAGCCCGAGTAATAGATAGAGGCAAAATGATGGAAGATAGAAGAAGATGAAGAGGGCAGTGGGTTCAATATATGAGATTGATGAAGGAGGAAGTCAGCTGTATTGCCGATGGAGAGATGATCCAAGGCCCGAAAGGATGGGGAACTTGAGGCCTGTTATATGGATCGGGGCTTGATAGTAGATCCATCCAGCTGGTAGATATTAAGTGTACGCCGGTGGCCGAGCAGGGACAGAGCCTCAAGACGGCTACTCTTTGCCTGGCAGCGTGGGTTAGTAGACTGCACTGTAGATGCATGCTGAGATACCTACCCTGGCCAGAGCTGTGCGAATCCTGGCCGGAGGGTGTGGAGAGAGCATCAAGTATCCTGAAGTAGGATTTGCTACCCTGACCTGGCTTGGCCTAGTCTGATGTGCCGCTGAGATGGGGGGTCCAGTGTCGTCGGGCATCCAGATTCATCATATACGCACACACCCCTACCTACAGTAGACTCAACTCAGCCTTGGGGCGAAGCATGGGAGCATACTGTAGCATGGGGGCTCTGGCCAAGACAAAGAAGAAAAGCTATCTAGACGACGACATAGCACAGCTTCGCGCTCTGGATGCGGCCAGCGTACCCGTCGTGGCATCCAGGCCGAGTTTATGCTGTCATGGACGGAGCGTAGCATGGCCAGCCCCCATGTGCCGGAGGCTGCAATGCTGCCATCTCCAGCGGCATCTTTGCTGCGTGCTGTGCTGTTGGCTTGGCTGCTGAATGTTGTTGGTCGCGACAAATTACCGGCCTGGGTAGGCATAGGTACTCCTTGTGGTGAAGAACAGCAGTTGGTAGTTGGCAGTTGGCAGAGCCTGGCTCGGAGCCGTCTCATTTCCCTTGAAGATTATGTGAACCATGCCGTGGCCGGAAGCCCCCCAAACAACTGCGCTGAAGGGCACGTCGACGGCAAGGCAGCCCCCCGCCATCGCCAACATGCTGTGATACACGAGTTAGTTTGGATGTTCAGCCTCGCAAGGGTTCGCTGCCTCTCAACGCCCGTCTTTTCGTCCCGTCCCGGGGCATGCAGCGCGAGGTGGCCGAAAGGTGGCCGGCCAGAAGCTGGAAGTCAAGGCCAGTCTGGACAGGAAAAGGCAGGCCAGCCAGCCAGCCAGCCAGACAGGCAAGGGGCATCTGCCAATCTGCACCACGCACCATGGGCCGTCGGAATCATGGGCTGAAGCCTGAAGGCGGTAGTTCGTGCGCAAATGGCGGGCGAGACGCCAAATCTTGGGGTACTGGCCGCGCTACTCAAGAAGAGTTTGACGAGCCAGAATATCCCAGGGCCGGGCCTTTAGTGCAGATGCCAATTGCTCGCGGCAGCGGGAGACGAGCAGGGTTCTCTAGCCCCCGAACCGCTGCTATAGTGCAGCAGCCTGTTCTTGTTGCCCAAAAAAAAAAAGTGGACGTCGGCCGAAGCAGATAGTGATGGCGGGAGAGCAGAGATTGATGCCGGGCAGACGAGCAGATGCGATGCGCGACAGGAGGCGTGTGCAGGCGTAGGTCCACTCCAGATGGTTGGTGCAGGCAGCGTCATCTCTATCGCAGCACCTAAAAATGCTTTGTAGTGGTAGCGCAGTGTCGCATGGGGGACTGCTGATCGCCTTGTCCAGGCGGCCGTACCTATTACTGGCAACTCCAGCTGCTAATTCTAGCGCCGCTACTCCGGGTGAGCGTCGAGTCTAGCTCGAATCGACGTAGCACATGAGGCAGCGCTAATGTCGCTCCACTCTGTGTAAAGAGACCGGGACACGCCAAAATGGGGCGGGGAGAGTTCGCTTTCAGCCCGATGACCTTGCATCGAAACAGCTAAAACTGTTTGGTCTCAAGCTCTCTTCTTCCCAGCATGTCGTCTCTCTTGGCGTCCGTTGCCTCGTGTGGGGGCGTTCTGCGCGCAAGCAGGCCGGGGTGATATCGTACGAGATCCGCTGAGATGGCTGTCTCACGTTCTGGCCTGGACAACGAGAGAGCTTTCGTCCTGCGCGCATGGCGATGGTTTCATACGCTGGCCGTCTGGCTCAGGAACGAGCGGGCCTGCGCCTGAGAGGGTGGGTAAGAAAGGATTGAGACTCCATCCCAAGACTCAGATATCCAGCCCCCCTGGGGCAGCTGAGCGTTGTGAAACGCTACTCGGCGTATGCAGGAAACAGAGAAACAAAAGATAGCAGACGATCCCCGAAGATTACTTGCTGGTTTGAGATGCAAGGTGCTGTGCGACACACATGCCCAACGCTCCGCCCTTACTGGGAGGGGGAAAGGCATAAGAGCTGGTGAAAAGGCGGAGCGAGGACAACTGCTGCGAGATGCAGGTAGCATTAGGAACGATGCACAGAGGTGCTGTGTGCCACAGGAGCCACAGGAGCCACAGGAGCCACAGGAGTGCCACTGGAGGGAGTGGCCGTCAGTGGCGCGCCGCCTGTCATGGCATCCGCAGTGGCAGCAATGGAAGCGGTTTTGACGCAAGTTGTGCGCGATGCTGCATTGCATATGACGGCGTTGATGACGGAGGCGGCGATGATGGTGATGCTTAGGTTGGATGACCGCGGAGACGACGATGCAGGCTCTCCCCGAAGCACTACCAAGTCTGCTATCAATGTTGATGCTACAGTACTGCATTCGAAGGCCGCTGGTGATGCTGCTGCTGCTGCTGCTGCTGCTGCCTGTCCCGTTGCTGCAGCCACAGCCGATGGCTAACCAATCCTCGCCCATCAACTGTGGCGATTACCGTGCGAATTGACTGGCACATCCACCAGCATGAGGCGCGGTCTAGTGACATCTGCCTTCAAATCGTCCCTGGTTCGCTGAGGAGCTGCAGCCATACCGGGGGTTTGCAACCCAGCGCTCGGCATGCCCGTTCCCTCATCCAATCTCTCGCCTTCATCTCCAGCAAATCTCGACCCATTTCATCGACTTAGCGCTAGATTTCCAGTATTTGCTTACAATCTCCTCAATAGTTCCCTGCTGCTAACCAGACTGCGGTCCTAGTTAGTCCCGCATCGAGCTTTGAGAGCCAGTCGATGCCAATGGAGGTGGTACGAATGTTAGCACCTACCCCCAGGGATAATGCCTGAGCCTGAGCGCCGCGACTCGATACCCTGTCCCAGTCATGAATCGATGCTTTTGGTAAAAATGAAGGGTAACAATAGCCGGCACCGTCTGGACGGAGCGTGCTTCTGATATCATGTATCATATCAGGTGGGCAAGTGTAGCTCATTGGGCTTGGATACGAACCTTGCCTTGCCCCTGCAAACATAGAGTGCTGACTTCATCCCAGGTCGATGGTACCAGATACTAGGGACTACCGAGGTAATTCCAAAAAAAAGTACCAGAACGTTCTAGTCTTCATTCTAGCTGTCAAGGCAGAAGCAAAAGCCCTCAGTGGGTGTGCGCTTCTGGCACCTCTGACAAATAGAATTGATGCCCTCTTCGAGTTTACCATCTACGAGAGCTCCCTGAATACTAGTATTTTGGCTCCTACCAGCGACCACCCACAGATACCTAGGTACTAGGTAGGCAAATGTTCTCAGCACTACCAGTACTAAGGCAAGTAGAACCCCGCGCTCCCTCTTTGACCGAGCTGGCTGTCGCGCATAAATTAGGCAGAGCGGTGGCTTGTAGTCTAGACCTGGACTCTGAAGGCGCTTCTCCCCCTTCTCGTGCTCCTTTTCCCTGGCAATTATCGGTCGAGATACGAACTTGGTACCTACTTTTTTTCCACTTCACTTCCTATCATTTACCCTTGCTTCCGCCGTGTTCTGTGCTACCAACCCAAGGTTTCTGCGGATGATGATTGCACGTCCAACAAGCCACAGCGTGCTGTTTTTACTTGCACTATCATGCTGCCTCCAGGCGCCACCCGCATCTCTCTCACGCTGCCGCTAGTACCAAGACGACCAAAGCACTGGACCAGAGCTGCTAGCCTGCCCCTCCCGCTCGGCAGATCTCCGTGTCTCCGTCGTCGGGAAGCCCCTTCGCGTGCTCTTCTCCCCATAAACCAGAGCTAGCAGGCCTAGCGAGTCGCTAACTCCAGCTCGCGTCTGCTAGTTGACTGCGGCAGCGTCTTATCCGTTTTTGTTCTATTTTGACTTCATGTTCCATCAACTTCTGATCGCAATGCCGTCTCTCTGCTCGTCCAACTCTTGCTTTTCCATCATTTCCCATCATTTTGAACAACACCGTCGGTTTCTTACATCTCCAGGCACGGTCTGGTCAGCAAAAACAGCAATTGATCCTTTCGGCCTCGGAAATATTCTTTCCAGCCCTATCCACCCCGCTGGCTCGTCGGGGTGTCCAACTGGTAAAGGCACTACTACTAGGGGCAGTGCCACCACCGCTGCATATCTACGCCGCATTTTCGGTCGCCGTTTCACCGTGCGCGCTCTGGACACCGTGAGCGTCAAATACAGGATAGGGATAGCCGCTCGCTGCATAGACGCTAATTTGCATCTTGCCTTAGTCGCTCTATCGCCGACCAGCATTGCTTGGCTACCAATACGTCAGTGGCAGCTGCAGGGACGCAGGCAATGTTGCTTTTGGTTAAAATTCCACAACGAGCTCCAGGTGGTAGAAGCCGAGCAAGACGCCGATTCCACGGAGATGTGCTGTCTCCCTGGCTGTTTTGCAGACTTCAGCTCGGTGCTGTGCCTCAACCCGGCTGCGTCTTGATATACCCTCGCCCGCTTGCTTTTACTGGCCAGGCAAATACTGTGGTGTGAGAAGCTCTAAAATAAAGTGCAACGCTTGACAAGTCCGGTTCAATCAATCGGGCCGGGCATTTATACCGGCCGATACAGGCAGAATCCACGGGCTGAAGCTGGTCGAGCAGTTTAGAAAGTACGAAGCCAAGGCTCGAAGTGGTGCTCCCTCCTCGCACGCACCGAGAAGCACATCCGCTCAAATCGCAAAACTACTCGCATCAGACCTCGTAACGGGACCTCCCAAGCCCCAAGTTTTCAGCTTCGCTTAATAGACCAATGAAAGCCTTTCGGGCTACTGCGGCCAAAACTTGCCAGAGCGGTGTCGACCGAGACACACATGACTTGTCACGAATGTAAATCTTTTGGGCGTGAGCATAAAGCTGGGTGGCCAGGATCCAAAGAGGCAAGAGCAACGCCAAACACCGTCTGTGAGGGATCAGAAAGAACCAGGTCGGACTCCACCTGGCCGGGGAGTGTCTTAAGCTTTTCAAGGGTATCGGAGCAGCATTTTGGTATCGTGGCAATGGATTTGAAATTCTGTCGACCAAGACACCCAAGACACAAGCTCAAGCAGATAACTATGGTACTTCTCGATATGGCAGTAACCGGGGGTCAGTCAACGCACAAAAGAGCGCCAGCTTGGTAGCACCCCTACTCGTGTTGAGAGAGATGTCACTTACACAGGGATAAGCCTGCATCGCGATGGCTTGCGAGCGCACAGCAGGACAGGGTCCATCAACAACACATGCTAGTCTTCGCCGATCTCTCTTGATGGTGTAGAGATAAAATTCTCCATACTAGAACTTTCCGCTGCTCAGATGCCGATGAGTGCCCGATGGAGCTTTCTACTACACCATGAGCCAGCCGCCTTAGTGTGCCTACTGCGGGAGCACCATGTCGGTACAGCCGATACCGAGCAACCTTCTACGTGATTGACCATTTGCAATACCAGCTAACACTCTGACAATGCTTCCATAAGGCCATTATGTCTTCCATGATAGTGTTCGGCGAAGCGCCACGAAGCTTGATGGACTATCGGCTGCTCTTATTCAAGCCCGGGATGACTTGGGCAAACGTTCCATCACCATCTTCTTTGAGCTACATAGTTTTGCCGTCCAAGACACCTAATAAGCTACGCATGGAAAAGAATTACACGGAGCTGAACTCTCCCTGGCCCTGCCCCTCCTTTCCCCTCTACAACGCTGTGATACCTGCTCCACTGCATCGTCATATCTATCCCCTTTCCCCCACCACACATCTAAAGGCTTGGTGAAGACCATTGGCAATCTCGAATCAAAGCATTACAGGCACTCCGGAACTCCAATCTGGCAATTTCGAAACAGGCCCTCCCCAGAGTCTCTCGAACCCGAGATTAGCACCGGATTGAGCAGGGGTCTCGGCCTGTGTAACGCTCCATTCAAGGTACTCTCCACCTTGGCCCCGGCCAAACTTCAGTCAAGCCACTAACTCTATGCTCGGCAGCGGGAATTGCTCTGCGCATGTTATAGTCTCGACATACTGCGGAAAGCATAAGTGGGAGTATTGTACGTATACATAAGATCAACCTCTACGTTCATCCAAGTCCCCGGCTAGCTCAAGCCCAAGACTACGGTACCTAGGCCTATGCCGCTATACCAACTCGAAAATACATACAGCAGCATCTGGACTAGCAGTGGCAGCACGTATGTAGCTTACTACTAGTAGGCCGGACCAGGATTTCAATACGGACACGCCCCCTCGGGATTTACTACTACATAGCCACGTGGGTTGTCGGCCGCTCATCCTGGACTTGTATCAGTTACCATCTCGAGATGCATTAGCTGTACATGCTTCGCACTCATGATACTGGCACCGTGTACGAAGTACCTATTTACGATCTCAGTTTGGGTCAAACTTACGCCTTCCAAGCCGCCTTACGGCCCAGGCCTTGAGAAAAAAAAAGCGATGCATCAGGTGCAAAGCAATCGGTGCCTTTCTCTATTGCAGTCTTTGCCCTGGGGTGTGTTGAGAGCATTTGTGCTTCATTCCCGCCATTTGCTCACTTTGAAGCCGGCACAGGCAACCGAGCCAGCGTTGATGCCACTCGCCGCCCACCCCAAAAACAAAACGAGGCAAAATTACGACTCATTAGGCCCATCGCCAAGGCCTTGGTGTTGTCATGTTGCTTGTTGTTGTTTGAGCCTACTCGGCATAAAAAAAAAAGTGCGTAGAGCAAGCATCGAGGATGGTGTCTTCAAGCTGACAGCGGGCGGCGATTCATCCCATCTCTTGCTTCATCTGTTATCTTTGTTTTGTATCATAGCTCTGGCCTGTTTGGATCCTTCTGCATTGCTGCTCAGAGAAACCCCGCAGAAGAACAGCCCTCTCTAGCCCGGCGCCAATCATAGAGCCATTGTTGCTGCCAAACAGACCACAAAAGCGAGACGATCTAGGCAAGGCACCGTGATCACAAACGGCACTGAATCGACGGCCCCCAACCGATGGACTCTGGCTGCCTGGCGCAACTTGCTAGAGCACTTACCGACAGGTCCAACAACTTGCTGGAGTATAGCTAATGTGATAGCCTCGAGGTCCTGGCCACGGTACTTACCCCGTGACTATTTTCGAACTTTCGGTTTCAATTCAATGCGTCCGTGTCGCTGGAACGGCAGTCAAACCTCCGTCGTCATATCTCCTGTGCATCGCTCGCAGTACCACTACCTCGCCTGGAGACATACCTACTTGACGCTGGCGCCTTTTTGCCCTCCTTTGGCACCCTTGGGAAACACATCTCTTTGGCTAAGCCAATTTCATCCACGCTCAGCTGGCAGCCATACTGACAATGTAGCTTGCCCCCTGATACGAATCTTTGCTTAAGCTCAAAACACGCCTCGCCTCTACTTGGCAGTTGTTGCTCGAGTAGCGCATGCACCCTACTACTAGTAACAAGTCTCTTCCTTTTGCATGGTACTGCTCCCACGGAGAACCAGAGTGCATTACCCGCCATGCAAGTATGGGTCTCTCTTTCTCGTCCATTACCCAAATCTCACCCTTGATTGACGACTCAGATTAATATATCCATCGTACAGATGTGCCGTAGCATCGTCCCTTCTTGCTATTAGCACACAGCCCTCTCCGGGTTAGTACAGGCGCTCTTCATCAGCTTGGCCGAAAGCAGATGCCAGCTAATGCGCGAAAGTCGCTTCGAAGTAACATGACCTCACAATCCATTTCTACAAACCATCCACATTCGGGGCATTGCTCCGGCTCTTTTCGTCTCTACGGGGTGTCGAGCTTATCCTATCTTTACACACACAAATAGACGAAGGACAACGAAATCCCAATTTTTTCCGGAAGGGAAGCAAGATATCCCCGTCTTTGCAGGCGAAAAATATCTAGTAGCACCCACCATCTTTTGCCCATCTCACTCTCCCCACGTGGTATCAGCCTACCGGCATCCAAATACGAGCATCACGCACATGCGAGCAGTACCTCGACTTACCAAGTTGAGAATATATGTGTTTCGGACAAGTGCTCCCCCAAGGTTGTTCTGGGAATAGCCGACTTTCACTTCTCCGAAAAAGGACGACAGCCATTCGCGGTAAGCTTAGGTTAGACAGAAATTTGCTAGTGATGATACTGGGACCAAGACGGATAACCCGGCCAATAGCCAGATTCTCAACCAACAGACCGTAGCATCGGCTACCACGCTGCATTCATCCCGCCTCTCTCTGCCTGCCTCTCTCTTTCTAAGTTGGCCCCCTTTCCGAAAGCCATTCCCCCCCTTAGGACTATTTAGGACTTCTATTTTTCCACTTGGCTTTCGCCGAAACGCTAATGCACTATTACGAGGCGGAACAGAGACAGGTGGAAAAAAAAAGTGTCCCAGACATACGTCAAATGTCTCACCGAAGAAAAGGGAGGGTGGGATCCTTCGCCAAAGAACCCCTTTGTAGGGTGCTCCCGAAGAGCGAAAAAAAAAAAGGCAACCTATGCGCTGGTGTCGAGGCAATAGGCACCAAGACGCCTCTTTTGTCTTCTTTTCTCCCCGCTACTATCTAGATGCTACTTCGAATCTCTCTTCTCCCCCTTGATACTATTCGCCTTGTACATGAAGGCTATGCCTGTGTGCAGCGTCTAATTTCGGATCGTCTTGGGTAGCACTCGGTAGGTAGCACTCGGTAGGTAGCACTCTGGCTTTTACACACAAACGACGGCGCTTATCCCGCAAGGATTCATTCAACTCTTCTGTGGCTGCGCCTCAAGACACAATCGCTTGTATTGACTTCTCCCATGGCTAAACACACACAAAAGACAAAAGCTTTGACAAGAAGGCTGCGCATCCCACACAACCACACTGCATCGTTTCGGCAGTAATAATAGTAATACTTGGAAGCTAATGTAGGTACCCTCACAGTCCACCTGCAAGGCTCGGAGAACGAAAAGGAAAAAAAAAATTACGAACTCGACTTTAATATCCAAAAAAAGATTATCGGCCGACAGCTTTGGCCGACAACTTTAGCATGACAACTTCGACATGGCAACTGCTGCCCCTTTTTCCTAGTCTACCTCTCCTCCTCCTCTTGGCTCATTAGATCGGCCTCGTGTTCAAAATCCGGAAGTTGTTCAATTTTGCAGTGATGACAAAGCTTGTGACAACAGTTCATACACTGACTGCTTACATGGTAGTTTTCGGAATGATTGCAGGCGCACTGATCGTCGTGTTAGAAGTGCAAACTGCATGTAGTAAACCGAAAGTGTAGCAACTTACGCATATCCAGAGAACGTTGGATCTCTTGGTAGAACGCACATCCAAATCGTCTGTTGCCTTCCGCTTCTTCGCGGATCTCGACAAAGGTCCCACAGCCTTGGGCTTCTTGCCAGACTCAGAATCTCCCTCTGCCAATTTATCTTCGAGATAGCACCAGTCAGCCATGGTTTTCTTGGTCAGTCCATCCTTGCCGAATAGGTGATTGTCAATGTGATCGCATCTCTTTGTCCATGAATTGACCACCTTTTCTTTGATCTCAATAAACTGATCGCAAAACCCGCACCAGAAGCGTGGGTCGCAATGGCGGCCCAGCCTGCAGCTTTCTAGCTTATTCTCAATTATCTGGCTATCTTTTTCCTGATGATCATGCTGAAGGTGAGTCTTGAATAGCTCTCGACGAGGCAAAACCTTGTCGCAGCGCGGATAATCACAGTTCCAGGATTCCATCTGGAAATGCTGGCTACTCTCGTGCCTCTTCCAGTCATTCTTGCTACCAAACATCTTGTGGCACGTTTTATAGGTGCATCCATAAGGCTTTTCATGTCGTTTCATGTGTTTCCTGTAATGATGATATATTAGAAAAGGCCAAAGTGTTGGATGCCATGTAGTTACCTAAGTTCACACGCCCGGGAGAATGGTTTGAAGCATTTTTTACACCTTAATGGTATTTTCGAGCTCCCTGTTTGATCATTAGGAGCAGCACTCTCGTTTTGCTGTGGCTGCTGCTCTTCCTGTTTTAGTGCTTTCTCTAGCAGATCTTTAGGAATTTTTTTGAGAATTGAAAGAACATCATGCAAACCATCTTTATCTGACAGAATGCTTTTTAGACGCTCCGCAGTATCGGGCGAAAGGGTAGCTTCTTTCGTAGACGCTTTGAAGTCATTATCTAGACCATTGTCTGTTTCCTGGAGCTCAGGTATGCCGCTTTGAGTAGCACTATCTTTTGACTGACTGGATGAATCGAGTGACATGGTCTCAATTGCCAATGAATCATGACGGCCAAGCACTTCATCTTCGCCCTCGACTGGGATGCCTTCATCATGGTCAAAACTTTCTTGCGCTGGCTCATCGTCAGGTAGCGCCGCCATAGATTCTTCCAAAGAATCTTCATGTACTGGCGTCCCAGCGACAACATCGCTGACGCTGACAAGAGACTGGGAACCAAGAGCCGAGGGCAATTTGAGGCCGTCTAGGGTATTTGATGGCGCCAAATGCGAGTCGCACCCGCTTCGGGCTAACAGCAGGTGATTCTGCTTTGGAGATTCCTTTTGTAGCTGGCTCACTGCGCCCGTTGGAAGCTGGCTACTTCGCAAATCAGGCGAATCTTGCACCTGCGTTGGTCGAGACTCCGGATCAACATCAGCAACCAATGATCCCACGCCTCGGAGGGCATGTAACTCTGCCTCATCTGGCCTGTTGGAAAATGTTGTTAGCGTCTGATTTGTCGCAAAACAACAACCGTTTCAAAAATACATACTGGTCGCGATGGTGCTCGATATCGTCAGCATCTATACCATGAATTCGGGCTGAAAAGTCTGGAAGGCTATCAGTAGTTGGCCACCCGATTTCTTTTCCCTGGAAACAGTCACTATGGCGACTTATATAAGGAGTCGCACGAGGGGGTAGTGCTGATCGCGATTCGGAACGGATGTTGGCAATTGAAAGTTTGCCATCTCGAACTTCATGCGGCCTTGTTGGTATTGGGCTATAAATTAGATGTTAGCATCTAATCTATATCTGACAGCTTGGAATCAGATACGAAGAATGGATAACACATACTAGTAGCGATAGTCTCTTAGATCATCATCTGCTTTAAGTGTTATACTATGAGCACGAGTCAAATGGCTGCGGAAGTTATCAGCCCTTGGCCACAGCTTTTCCTTCTTAAGGGTACAAGGCTCGTGGCGACAGATGAAGGTAGGCACAGTGCTATCATGCTCACGGTGGACCGTTCTCTTATGTCTACTAAGATCGTTGGTCGTGCTGAAACCTCGAATAGCCTTGGGGCAATTGTTATAATCGCATTTATACGGCCTGTTGTGCCTGTGGTTATGCTTTCTATGACCTATTAGTAAGTAGGTGACGAGGAGAAAGCCTGGGCACAATTGCCATTGGTCAAAACATACTTGAGCTCTGATTTCGTCTTGACGTTGGCCCCGCAGACGTTGCAGTGGAGGAGTTTAGCATTGGCAGTTGGGCGAGATGGCACCAGAGGCGTCTTATATATTGAAGTCGCTGTAGGAGAGATATTCAAGTTCCCAATGTCAAGGGGATGATCTGTTGCCTGGGGATCGCGGAATGCACCCTCCGTATACCCATCATTTTCGTTGACCGATGTGACGCTCTCAATGGCGCTGTATATAGTACGGCTGCCCCCATAGCCAGAATCTAAAGCGGTATCGCAATCAGAGGGCACAGGAGGGCTTCTGAAGTTTTGGAAGCCTGGCAATCCAGTATAGAAACCATTCGTGGACGAGCGAGATGGAGCCAACGACTGTGCCGGCTGGATGGCGCCGGGAGCAACCCAGGGATCGTCCGACCCATTATAGAACGCATAGAGAATACTATCAGAGTATGAGACAAAAGGGTTCTCTCCACGAGAAGAACTCATGTTGGGCTAGAAGCTAGTGCGAATAGGGCCGTTGTGCGGCGAATACCTGCGTGGCTCTGCACCGCCTGTCCGGTGATGTATGCGTCTAGACTGCCTGCCTCTGTGGCGAATTTGGACGGAGTAAAGACGAGATATATCTAGTCTCAGTGTTGAGGAAAGAAAGGGCCTGAAGAATGTCTTGCTTTGCTCAGTTGATGATGAGAATCAATATGCGTCGTCGAGGACTCAAAACAGCGGGGTGGGATTTGGGAGCACGACGGGATGTGAGGGGCCTGAGTCGGTCTGCAGATGTCCTCAGCCTCAATAGCGGAAGTGAAGCGTAACACTGAGTAACAAATAGGAGCAAAGACCAGAGTCAAGGCGCACATACACACGCAGCAGAGCCAGGACGGGCAGCATTAGCCAGCAAAAGGGCGCCGTGCTGGGTCGAGCATCACCGCCAAGTCTGTCCCGCGGCTTTGCACCAGTGAGAGACGAAAGGGCCTGAGAACAAGACGAGGCAACCAGACACCGGCGAGGCAACCGCCTGGTAATAACAACAGCTGGCAGCGTCCAAAGCTGGCGGTCAACGACTAGGGCGTCGCGCGGACATGCGCTGCTCTGCCGCGATGCAGGATCAAAAGGGCCTTGGGGTGGCTGAGATGAGCGCTGGCAGCCAGATCGTTTGTTGGCAAAAAGCTGCGCCGATGGGCCTCGAGACGCGGATGTCGTCGCGCACAGCCAGTAACGAGTCGTCGATACCGCTGGCGATCCGGGAGGGCGGCCGATATCCGGCACTGAAACCGACGATGATGAAATGCCTCTCGCCTCACTTTTGGCCTTCGGTGAGACGCAATGCAGATGCAGATGCAGATGCAGTGCACGGGCATAGCACGGGATCTGGGCGCTGGCCCAATCAGACTGCGCAATTCAACCGATAGCGCACGAGGAAAGAGCATTCTGGCGATGGCAGGAGCCCATGAGCGCAAGGCAACCGCGACTAACAAGGCAGCCACCGCAAGGCAACCGCGAGGCAACCGTCACAGGCGCAGAAGAGTCCGCGACCCAGCCGAAACCCAAGATTTTTCCGCCCCCAAGTGATATTCATATTCCCGGCAGCCATTTGTCGCATCATGCCTTGGTAGGGCATTCCACCCTGATCTGTCCGCTTTTTCCTTCTAGTTGTTAGGAGATTTTCCCTCCTTTTCTTTTTCGAGCAGTCCTCAGTTTTGCCATTTCCCCTCTCCACTCCTCAACCTACTCTTGTCTTGGCTCTCAACCAACTCGGCGCATGTCGTGCAGATAAATGTCATCGCCAGCACAGCCCTCTTTGCCCATGCCACAAATCACGACTCGTGTCGCCATCTGCGCTTGTCTTGCGCTTTGTCGCACGTCCACGTTGCGGGTCTGATGAGCTGCGGCTTGTAAATTCTGTGGCTCCTGTAATTGTCCATTATCGCCTGCTGTTGCATGAGTTGAGGCTGCTGCCCCGGTTTTCTTGACAAGGCAAACAAACAGTTTGCCTCATGTTGGGTTTCTAAGCCAACGTTCGGCTTGGGGTTTGGCTCATCTAATCAAGGATATATAAAAAGCTTATCCTGGCCTGCGCTGAAAAGATGGCGATGGTTAGCTTAGAGTGCCATGTCATAATAGCAGTAACTGTAAATGCAAGGCTTGTAACAGACCTGAACAGGCAGGTGTAGGGTGGGTTGAAGCGCGCAGACCCCGTCCTTCGTCGTTGAGATCCATGGATAGCATCAAGTGAAATATGCTGGCGAATATAGATAGCCCTTTTGTAGCCTTTTCGTATGCTTTTCGTATGAACAGGCGCTATCTGATTTGTATTGTGTTAGGCATACTGAAATGGTCTTTCGTTAGTCAGTGCGATGTGGTCCCCGTGGACATCAGGTAGAGTGATGGAAGAGAAGAACAACAGTACTATATCTGCACCTTCATTAATAAATGTTTCTTTCGCTAAATGCCGCAGCCTGATCCAAGCGAACTAAAAATAGATTCGGGCTGCTTTTTTGAAACCTTTGGGCAGCTGTGAGGGTATTGGAACGACATGTAGCGACAGCCTTGCGCTTACTCTGTTACTGACTAGCAATTAATGTTTGGTTAATCTTTCAACGCCTATAATATGCCTCTGCCAGTGAATACGAGCATCTAGAGCAAAAGCGAGACTTCGTTTGCTCCAGACCACATACAGCTTCCGATGTCGGTAATTTTCAATCGCTACTTCCATATACATGACTTATGTCCTCGCACGCTTGAGTTTGCTTCTAGATGTCGAAGAGAATGTAAGACTGCTGTTACTTTATTCTCTGTTTTTGCCCATGCTGTATTTTTGTAGAAGCTTATTTCTATATGTGGGTCATACTTGTACAACACATACATGTTGATATACGTATGTCCATAGAACGTGTTCTACTTATCCTAATAAGGTGAGTTCACACTCCTGGACGAAGATGAAGTGTGATACAAATTGCCAATGTAAACATGTTCATTGACAAGCTGTATTGGCAGCGATGAGCTGTCGTGAAACATACAGTATATTGTCCACTGACCGAATGGGGCATATGCCCCATTTGCTGATGATACGATGGCAGGGGATACAATTGTTTCAAAGTAGACATTATTGATAAAGAGTCTTTTGCCCTACGATCCTGAGTGATATCCCATCATCTTTTTCTTTTTGTAGTAGATGAGACGCCCTATGATATTTATTCCAAAATGCAATTGGTTTGCAGCGTGCTGTGTAAGTCACCCGAGAGAAGCAATAATATTATTGGTGTCACCTATCACTCTCAAAGAAAGGCCCTTGTCGCCAATTATGGATCTGCTAATCCGCCAGCCAGGAAATGAAGAAACAAAAGCCGACGCACGCTTCAAAGGTATGTGGGCATTCATGGGTATTTCGAGAAAACCTCTCAATTTCAAACTGCTGCTTATACTAGCAGATTTAGCAGAAAGGGGTATCTATAGTCATTGAATATCAAGGTTATGGGAGCCCCTAGCATCACGATGCGTCCGAAAAACTCTAACAAGAAGTAGAAATACGAGATACTTCGCATGCCACACTTCTTTGAGACTGGAATTCCTTCCAAGTCATGGCTGGGTCGGAGAAGCCTGCCGGCTGCATACTGACGGAGCTCAATAAGTAGAAGGGAGAAATCCTGTTTCAAATATAATTGCTTTTTTTCTCACGTCACAGCGGTCGCTCGCCATATGCAACTAGCTAAGAACAGAGACAGCTTCCATGGGGGGTCGTTGCAGCAATATTGACTTGTTGTTTATGGGATGGCCCCGTCCTTCCGAAAGGATCGTATGACCCACGCAAGCCCTGCCAGACCGGGATGGGTCCAATGTATATACTATAAGATCTACTACTAATCTTCCTGCGTGAGAGATTCATGCGTCGTCATCTGCGTCGCTTAGAGTCACTGGAGCAGGATTACCACGGATGCTCGACCTTGGAGTGTCTGACTTGTCGTATCCATAAGATTCCACCCGCAGACTCTCACTCGTCTATGATAGGCAAAGCCCAGGTACCCGGAAACCACATCCAGTCCCAATAAGATCAATCTAGGCGTCGTGGGCCCCATCTAATAAATCTCAGCCCTGTTATTTGGACAAATTCGGTACTTCCTCATGCCTCATATTCATAACAACACTGGAGCATACGCCCTCTCAAGTGACGCAGGAGGTGCCACTCGGGGGGTTTCCCCCCTTGCTCCGGGTAGCTCTGCATTACACACCTCTACCACTTGACGTGCGTGCCATGATTTCTATGTGAAGAGACGTGGAAACATCGTGGCCCAAGACACGGTTCATGGGGGCAGGCCCCCGGCTAACGAAGGGATGCGGACATGAAGGGATGCGGACATGATAGGCGCGCAAGAAGAGATGGCAAGCATTACATACATTAGCCTACATATGATGGGCAAGAAGCCGATGGTTGGGCTTTTTTTTGTTCTCTGGGTTTCTACCCGACATGGGTTGCTATCCAGCCCTCGACAGGGCGCGTACGCAGCTGAGAAAGTGTTTATGCAGGTCTCAGCTCGCCCAACCACCATAATACGAAAGGCTGAGGTTTGTGAAAGGCCTTTATGTTCCACATATGCATCTAGTGGTGTGCTAGATAACGCTACTCCAAGATCTAAGATCAGTCTGTACTACGGCTGTTTTCTCCTCTTACTGCTACATTTAACAAAAGAGCTCTCATTTCATAGGCTCCAAGCATGTTGCACAACATGAATTACTCTTTATGGACTTCAGTGAGCAAGTCTACTATGAGAATCAACCTGTTTGAAATCAACAGGGTTACACGGTTACACCACGTAGCTGACACATTTGACTGGCCCTCATCTTTCCTTCTTCCACCATGCTTATGCTAAAAAATCCGCATTCGGATTTAGAGCGTGAGCGTTGCCATCAGGGCATACTTGTACCACGACATCTGCCATGCGGGCGTTTAGCCAAGGCACTTGTGATTCAGCGCCTCCTGGGGCTGGATGAAGTGAATGGGTGATGTATTTGTTTGCGGGAGTTCTGCCATGACATGGCGAGTAAACGCCATGTGGCCGAGTCGAAGGCCGTGAGAAGTACAAAGTAGACATAAAAGGGTTTTCAAGCCCATTTCTCAAACACATTTGGCTTCTTGTTCTTTCAATTTTCGAGATTCGGCACTACAAAACATCGTCACCTTGTATACGGAAGACTACAATTTCCATATACTAAGCTTTGTTCACTGCAACCCTACGGTAAGATTGAGATGACATGTCACTGCACATATCGTATTGCTGCTAATGTGATCTCGCTAATACTTCTCCCTTCCCTCTAGCTGAAAGAGACTACGCTATTTTGACTCATTGGCGACCACTATGTGCGACTGGGAAGAGTTCTTGTTCACCTGTAACCACTCCCAAGTACGGCTCAAGTCCTACTGTCACTTCGCGCGGAACGATCCCAACCACGGGTGTCTGGGCGTCAAGGTGCTCCGCAACTCATGGAGACAAAGCGTACCGTGCGACGAGTGTGCTTCCAAGGGTGTATCACATCGGAGGTCTTGATGGGATGTCACTGCTACATCCTGATGGAAGACTGGGTATGAAGCTCAGCGAGCAAGGGAGGGGTAGGGGGGGTATGTACATGTAGTTGCCGATGCCCAGGGCGTAGAGATGGTCTCCGAGGAGTGTACGTCGAAACTTTTTTATTGGCATAAACGCACGATTCGTATATAACTGGAAGGATTTGCGGCTGATGGCGGGTCTGGATTGGGAGGCAAAAAAAAAAAAAAAAACTGACAAGGCCTAATATGAGAGAGAGAGGGGGGGGAGTGATACTTTGATAGCTTGATTCATGCATACATTTACGTGGTAGACGAGGGCACCCCTTGACGCTAATTAAGACGAGAGACTAAGGTGAAAAATCCGCTACGAGATGATTCCTTGTCCTTGACACTTTCTTCTGGCGAGTTAAATTAGCAGCTACGGTAACGCAAGGAGTGTGCATAGGTTACACGGCGCGTAATGCTTGCCCACACGGAAGCTATTCCTACTGCTTTGCGGAGATATCCAGATGGCGTGGCAAGATGGCATTGAAAGGAAGGGAGCATCCCGAAGAGCCCAATGCCGGCGAATGCATGTTTTACCCAATTCGATCTACTGCTTGGGCGTGGCATTTACGACTCCAACTGGTGCGTGAATAGCTCTATATGGTGCGAATTTTGCGAGACGAGGAGGGGGCGTATGGTACCTACTTATGGAAGCTGTGAGGACCTGCAAAGGACTTATGCTACATGAATGTATGAGACTTTGGGCTTGACATGACTCGTATCGGTTTTACTGCTGGCTGTCGAAATATGGGCGTATACATGCTGAATATCGGCCTAGTTGAATAGAATCTCTCTACGATGTCCATGCTGCAAGCAGTCTGTGGTACGGCCCACTCACATGGCATCAGGTCTGTGGTTGTACCACTGTAAGCTATGACATTGACGCCCAATGCATGTTATTTCTGACGGTGATTTGGGAGTCTTGCTTTGACCGAGTGGAGTTTTTAGCTTTGGATGGATAGCGTGAGTGCCCCGTGGATATTGGTGAACTCGGCAATTCGGAGTATGCATGCAATATATCACCCTGAGATTGCTGAGATTCCGGTTCCGGCACGTCATTTTTCTACCCATACACATATTTCCGGTGCGTGCTAAGCTATTACAGAAACAAAATGACTGTTGAGGTGTAGTACTAAGTAATGCCAACTCTTCAAAGCTCACATCTCATATATACATACTGTTCTGACACACAACACCGGCCACTTACTGGTTAGTGGCTCCCTCTACAACTCCCACCACGTTGTATCTCTTGGAGAAGAAGGTAATCCAGTCCTCAAGAACGCCCTTTTCCTTATCAGGAAGATCGTGCCAGTCTGGTCGGACGTCTTCTGGCTTGACAGACGTCATCCCTAATGCCCTGGAGGCATCTTTACCGGCGAAGACTATATTTGTATCGTTAGCTTAACTGCATGTTTACGAGATAGCATAGGTAGATGAAAGCGAGGGTCAACTATGCATATGAGTACGGATGTGCTACGTACCATGGTATGAGCCCCCAGGCTGGTACATCTTGTTGCCGGACACATCATAAACTTTGCCCTGCAGCGATTTTGTTAGTTATACTACTTATTTACATGTTGAAGTCTTTTGGAGATGTACTTTGATTGCAACATAGCTCTTTTCTCCGTTTGTGCCTATAAGACCGAATTAGCCGAGGGTTCATGAGACGTCCAGTGTCTAAAGAGATGTTGATTATGATGAATGGCTGGTATAGAAGTCGCCATCTTGACTCATTTTTACTGAGACGATTTCATGATTTCCCACAACTGTAGTGCCAATCTTGCTATTCCTTGTTCAGATTGACGTCCCGAGGCTGCGGAACCGACATTACAGGCAGAACTGGAGGGGCTCAGAGTCTTACCGTCAGCTTTCGCCAAGTCTTCAAGAGATATCGGGTCGTCCTTGGGAGGGTCCAGCTGGACGGGAGTCTTGGGTTCAAATCTTCCAGACATCTCTTCGGTATTTTTCTGTCCTAGAAACTATGCGATGCGAGGCAAAAGAGCTTAGAAAGAGGGAAGAGTTGATGCCTCGCTCGGCTTTCAGTGCTTGTTCCCCCACCTCGGCACAGCGAATGGGAACTGTGGCGCACGGACCACATGCCGCCAAAGATTCGCTCGCATGCCGTCATGGGGAAAGATTTCCAGCCTTTAAGCTTCATCTTCAATTTGCATGTGCTCAGCAGCTACTAGATTCCTGCTGGAGCTGCCATGTCAATATCTGCAATTGCCTCGCTGCGGCCGGCTGGAGGCAAATGCCTTCGCCATGCCACGACGGGGCTGCTCTCAGTGCAGGTCAAGTCCCCAACGGCAACCGTCCACCTGCGGGCTGTTGTAGCTCTGCGCCCCGAACAGAGACGACTCCAATCGACGACTCCGTCGCCCCGAGACAATGCATCGACGACTAAGAAGCCTCAAATTACCTTTCGACAGTTTATTGGGCGCGCTCTCGGAGTCAGTCTGCGGAATCTCGTGGTGGCGCTGAGCCCTCAAGGCATCCGGCGGTCGTATCGCGAGAATCCGGCCGTGACCACCATGAACATTCTTCTGTATGTACTCAAGACGATTACTTCCTTTTGGATGAAAGTAGCTGTGCTAACACTATGTAGCTTAGTATTCACACTCGTCTTCTCTGCGGTAGCGATCCGAGCCTATATCAATACCTTTTACAACTCGCAATTCAGCAGATACCCAGAGCCTGTCGCAAATACTTTGCGCCGCGCCATCTACTACACCAATTACAAACCCGATCCCGAGCTTGCTCTGAGATATTATAAAAAGGCGATGGAGCAGTGCACAGAAGTTGGGCTAGATCCTTTCTCTGACGAGGTGCTGGGCATCAGGATACAAGTCGCCTTTTGGCTTGAGAAGATTAACAGCCACAAAGCTGCCATTGACGTGCTTGAGTCAGTTCTCGGAGACTGCAGGAAGTGGGTTGATGTCATGGAACAGTCTGTAAAGGACGGAAAGGTGAACGACCAGGGAAGATATGTTGGTGATGCTCAACAGCAAGTCGCTGCAGCGAAACCCGCTTCTGATGGCAAGGCTAAAGAGGAGGAGGCGGACGAAGCTGCGCCTGCAGAGCCCATCGAGACTCTGTGGCACAAACGAGAGCGACTACTCTTGAAGGCCATTTCCACAAGCGTTAAGCTGGGTGAATTATACGCAGATGAACATGTGCTCAATCCGGACCAGTCTCACAACCATCTCGTCTGGGCAGTCGAATCTTCGCTGAAAGAATTCCGAAGACGCAGAACCGAGGGTCCCAAACCCGGCGAAGAAAAGTGGCTCAGTCCCGAAGAACTTGGAGGATCAATGGAATCGCTAGGTCGAGACTATGAGCGCCGCTCTCAGTTCCAGCTCGCCATCCCCTTATTCTTCCAGGCCCTACGACTGTGCGAAAGCCCCTGCCACCGAGCAGTCATCATGAACAACCTGGCAGCGGCATTTGCTCAGCAACCCCTCTACACTGCAGGCACAATGGAGCCGTCTGAAGGTCTAAAGGAGCTATTCAACGATTCCATGCCAAAGACGCGTAAGGAATTCCTCGAGGCGGGATTGAACTGGGCAAAGAACGCATACCTTCACGCCAAGGATGTCAAGGACGACGATCGTACTCCCGAGTGCGACGAGGCATGTGCTGTTGCGCTCTGCAACTGGGGAGACGTGGCAGCTATGCTGGGCAAGCCGGAGCTGGCGAGGAACAAGTACAATCAGTGCATTGAGATGAGCAAGAAGATGGACTTTTCCGAGGGGGTGAAGCAGGCTCAAGAAGGCCTGTCAAAGCTTACGACTGCATCTTTGACCAACGCTTAAAAGGAAAAGAATTGAGATGTATGGTAGTTGGAAAAAAGGCCATTAGAGACGGCTCAATGTATTATTTACTGTATTATCATGTGTTACACAGCCCAGCTATTAGTATGCACTCCCAACATCAAATTTCGGCCAGAGCCTATTGCGGCTTAGTATGAGTGCTCACTGATTGCTGTTCCGTCTTTTTGTTCAATTTCCAGTTCCTGATCTGGTGGAGCGGCTGAGCGGCTGCCTAGCGGAATGGAGCATTGGCCTCGTCTTGGCTTTACACGATAATTAGAGTGAAGAAAAAAGTCTTCATAGGCAGAAGAAGCCTGAACTGACTTTTCGGGGTTGAATAAATAGCTACCCAACAGCTGCCATTCGCTGCAAAAGAAAAACTTACTTCAAAATTCTGTATACTCAATATCTGAAGCCAGTCACATTGACAACCCAAAATCATCACTTACATTGCTCTCTTCTAAACCCTTACAATGGCTCCTTCAAACGGCGTCTCATACATTCACCCAATGTACAAGCTCTTCTTCCAAAAAATAGAGCCTGCCATCACACTCTGGACCGGCTACGTCAACCTCCGCAACCGCACTCTCAGCGGATCTCTGCTCATCAGCAAGATCAGCATCGAAGACTATTACCTCTTTCGAGACCAGTTCGTCCTCGAGCAGGTACTGAGTCTCATGGTGGCACTGATGGCCATGGCTGCGATAGTCATGTATTACGCAGACGACATTAGGCTGTGGCGCAGATGTCAACTCGTACTTTTGGTGTGGAACTTGGCGTGCTTGAAGGGGACTTCTGATCGGACTGTGGAGTGCATTTACTGCGTGGAATTGTGCACGGTGCTGGTTATTATACGGCTAATGTTTTTGTTTAATGTTGGAAATCGGGCGCGAGGGTGGTATGTCGAGAATGGAGTTTTGAAAAAAATGTAAACTGGAATTGGTAGATGATGTGGCTGCTGTGTATTGATAGGGAGAACATATGGGAGGGCGTTTTTAATAAGGCTGCGGAAACTGTATGTAGACTAAAACGACAATTTTTTGTAATTGGAAAGATATCAGGCACCTAACTGACTGCAATTGGTTCTCATTGGCGACGAAAGAGCATTCACATGAATAAGAAAAAAGAACTTGTAGAAACAGAAACATTAATATTAGAATTAAAAAAATGACAAAAAGATAAGCCGACGGAGACAGGATTCGAACCTGCGAGGCCGAAACCATATGATTTCTAGTCATACCCATTAACCACTCTGGCACTCCGCCTATTAAGCTTATTGACAAGTAAGGGGCAAATCAGCATTATCAATGCAAGTCACTAGCCCCGCAGCTTGTATGCTATCGCCATCGTCGTAAACAGCGTCTCTACATCATGCGCTGCCAATTCGAACAAAGTACCGTAGCTTTGAGAATTATTCGATCTCGTTTAGTGTTTCACCAAGAGTTGAGGCCCTCACATGTGCGGCTCATGTTCGCTCTATAGCCGGCAAATCTAGTCCGGTTTCGCTAAATAGAGCCCGTCCATCCCTAGGAATTTCTAGTCTTTGGGGCCAGGCTGATCTGAGGATAAAAGACAATGGCTTTGTTCAAGAACTTTATATTTCTTCTTTATGTTCATAAACCTATGGTTTTGGGTCCTTCGCTTCATTGGATGCATAGAGATGGGCATGATTGGCAAGGCGATAGCTAGTACTTGTATCACAATGTTCTGAATTATTTTCGAACTTGATTCTTAACGACATAAACTCTCCTCTTCAAGTATATCATCATCATGCGACTCGTCAAAGTAAACACACTGACTCTCAAATAGTTCCTCGGCGCCTCTATCTTCAAATACGCCATCCTACCACACGCCTGGGAAGCAGCACCAGCAGAAGAAGTGACCTTTAAGCCATTTCCAATCATCATGACGACAAAATCTTGCGCTCCCGTGGCAACAAAAGAGGTGCATTCAGCAAGATCCAAAAACTCTGGCGAGTTGGCGAAACGGGACGGCTTACAGTATGTCTGGACTCGTACCTGCTGCATAGACAAGCCGAGCTACTCCTTCAACTCCCGATATAGCCTCGCACCACGCAACGATATGTCCTACACGACTTTTGCTTAACTCTACAGATGAAGTGGAACGCTCTCCGGCACACGTTTTTGGCCCATGATCGGGGTGACTGTTCTACCTACATTCATTCCAAAGCCGACCCTAGTTTAGAAAATTGTAGTGATTTAGTAACAACACTTGGCAGCGTGAAGTTCATGAAGGCCAGTCCTGGATCGGTATCTCACTCGCTAAAGATGTGAGCGAGCATCTGCGGGACGCGGCCAAGGTGGTACCAGTTGTGATAGAAAGCCAAAAGTTGGCTGTCAAAGTCAAACGTGATTAACCCCGGCAAACGGGGTTATGCATACATGTTTCAATTACAACTGCAAGTGTGGACGTAGAAACCGTGCTTTATATTGACTTGAGCTTCAACAATACCTCAAAGCCACCGAAGTCAACCGGGTAACATATGAGTTTCTTTTTGGCAAATGCATCGCAGCCCAAGGTTGAAATAACGCTTAATTACATTCATCTCAGAGTGATTCAAATATCCGATCATCCCTTGGATTTTGGCACTTGCAAATTCCCTAGATACCGAACCATAAGAAAATAAGTCATCATGGCCCATATAAACTCCAAAACTCCATGCTCCTTGCCTCATATTTGAACGATTTTATGCTCTGCTAGGCGTCTATGCCACCTTTTGTCTCTTTGCATCCAAGCCGTCTCCGTCATTAGCATTCGTTGCATTCGTCGGGATATCAACCAACGGTGATCTTTCTCCATTGGTTCCATTCCCTTCGGCGGGGAGAGTTCGCTTCATCGTCGGAGGCTTATATTGACCTCGATTCGAAAGAGGACTGCCTAGACCACCCGGTGCCCCTATTCTGCGAGTTTGGTCTAGTGATGTGTTCATTGCACCGCTCTTGGCTTGAGAGCCGCTGATTGATTGCCGCAGTGACGTAAAGCCTCCTGCGTTACCACTTGGCGTAGAAGATTGCGCCTGGCTATTAGCCGGAGGAACATGCTGGCCATTTCTCGCCACGGGCTTAGATGATGTGTGATCAATTCCAGGGGTTTTTCGTATAGAAGGACTTTCAGCCTTGGGATTGAAGAGTTGCTTTGGTTGACTTTGGTTGACGTTGGATTGGTTTGGATCAAGCGTAGATCTCGCCGAGAAGAATGCCACCGCTTCCCCTGGAGGTGGCTGCTGAGGAGGTGCCATTGGAGAATCTTTGGCTTGCGGGGCATTCTGCGGTCGTTGCGGCTGTCCTTGTCTTGGAGTATACGGCTGCGGCTGAGGCGGGCGATTCGTGTTGTTCACCGGCATAGGCTTTGCTGGTTGTCCAGCCGGCTTATCGTGGGGTGGGTTGGCAGCGCTGGGAAGCACAATCTCATCTGGGTGGCCTTCCTCTGGTACGCAAAAATCCGCCTCGTCAAGTTCTATAGATGTTCAGCCTCGAGTTCTTCAAAGCCATCTGAGGACAGCATACCCCCTAAGAAATCATCAAATGAGTCCATGGGCTCTGGTTTGAATGCTGGAACAGCGGCGGGAGCAGTAGTGGCGGTGGCAGGAGCACCAGTCTTGGCTCCGGTGTTGAGATTACTCATGGTTATATCCCTTGTAGGCTCCTTTTTCGCAAAATCCGAATGTCGATGAAGGTTATCTGGATCAAACTTCTTATTCGGCTGAGTCTTGATCTTGGTAACCTGCTTGACGTAGTCTTGGTCGTAAATGCAGTTGCCCAGCACATTGCCAAAATTCCTCAGCGTCCGTTTCAAAGCGTCCGTCGTTCCCTCCTTTTTTGCCTTTTCAAAGGCCATTGCTTTTCCCTTTGCGTTCTCTATGGAGCCGTAGCCAACGTCCTCGTGGTACGTGCCATCTCGGAGAGTGACCCGAACGATGACGGATAATCCGATGCTCACGCGTTGTGTTTGGGGATTTTCGTCGGCAAAATCGACTTGAATGTTTTGTATCGAAGATGACCATCCGTTGAAGCCGAAAACTTCATTGGCAAGGCCAATCACCTTTTCGGCAGTGAGATAATGGACCCGAGAGCCGCCAGGGCCGGCGCGTGACGAGATGTATTCGGGTCCCAGCTGTTTATCGAGCCGAGACGAAATTGTGGCAATCTCCTTGGCCGTCCATTCTGATACGCGGGGCTTGGCCTCTTCGAAAGGATTGGCCCACGCTTGGTGTTGATCGCCCGGACTGTAGCTTGTTATTAACGACTTATCGACTACTTTGATATGAATGTGAGAGGACATACGCAGGCATGGAGGGCGGCCGAAATCACTCTGGCATCTGCATAAAAAGCGAGAAAAAATAGACCAAGTCCAGATAGCTCCGACGTTTATCAGAGCGGCTGCACCTGGGTATCTGGAATCCTTGAATGCTTAAATGGTCGTGGTAGGCTCTCATTCACGATACGTCGCGTTGGTAGCTTAGCAATAAGCGCGTTCTGTTTAATGGAAAACAGGAGAGCACGTGACCTGTCAGGACGCTGGTACGTACCCGACGTCTTGCAACCACCAAGAAGCCTCAGCTCAACTCATCTATTCCGCCTGACCTCTACTAGCATGTCATTAAGCGCCTCTAACACCAACTAGGTAGGTAGTGTACGGCTAAAAGAGCTTCACTGCGTCGTCAGCTCTGAGCGGTTTATTCACTAGGATTTACGAGATGGAGAAGCATTGAGATCCCTGGGCTGGAACATCTGTTCACTAGGCCCGGTAGACTATGAGGCCAATTGATCAAACTATCAGCAGAATTACTTTTTAGCTGGAGTTTCGTAGAATGAGAGAGGGAGCAAAGAGGTTGATCCACGCCTGTCTTAATGATACAAGACTAGGGGAAATTTTTTTTAATCTCAAATATTTACAGATGATGATGCGTCCGTACCAGTACAAATACCAATAAACCAGAAAAATGCCACACTGAAGAATCCCTACCGCCACTCGATGAATAAAGAAAGGATATCAAAAATTACAAAGGAAAGAAGTCAACGCCAAACCAACCGAGTTGTGCGCAAGGAAAAATGAGTGCCGAAGTCTATAATAGCCCGTTGATGCAGGAGAAAGGTTTTGTCGTGATGAAAATAAAAGCGTCGTAGCTTGCTCTGAGGCCGCCTCGGGTGACCGTCGGACTGGCGAGAGAAGGAAAAAAATGCAGTGGTCTAGCCGCTCTCCGTATATTATATAGCAGCGTTTACCAAGGTCCGACCCTAACTGGCGACCCATATGCTCCCGATACGAGCTGGCTGAGAATAGAGCCTTGCTCTGACGAGCTCCCATTCTCATTCGATCCCATCCAGCCAACGCTATTTGACATGGCTGTAATGGCTGTGGCTAGTCGTCCTCCAGATTGTTCGTTATGTCGAGCCAGTTTTTGGTCCCATCCATCGGAATGCAAATTGAATCCACCGCCTCGCTTCGCTGCTTCGTTGATGACTAGAGCCCAGGCCTTGGAGATGTCCTCGTATGCGTTGTCTTTGTGATGGCGGTAAGTCTGTGGCTGCCAATCTGGAAGGCCGTGAATGAATCTGGTAGCACCATCAAGGAATTCCAGGGATTTGGTGGGCTGAGTCTCGATCGGGGGAAGAAATTGCGGAGTAAAATCAGAGAGCGCATCGATCAAAGCGACGATATGACTCCTGACTCGGTCGTATGTGTATTCCGCGCTGCTTTCCCCATAAGGGGCGGCAGCATTCAACCTCTCTTGATAACCATATAGCACGTTCATTGCCGAGTCAACGGTAGGTCGGGGCGCTCCTGAGACCACTTCCTGCCCAATATCCGGATGGCGCTCGCAGATGCGTTCCAAGACTGTTCGCAGCTGATTTGTGTCGAGGGTTTCTAAGAGTCGTGGGAGAGAGAGGGGCCTGCCGATCAAGTCGTTGGATCTGAATTTTTTCGACGGGCGGATGAGGGGCCGAGAAGATACAGCAGGGGAGCTCATGGGTGACATGTTTTCGTCTCCATCTTCGTCGGCCTTTCGTTTCCGGCTGCTCATGTTGTGAATCGAGGAGACTGCAGGATAAGTGTCAGCCGAGAAAATCTTGTGTCAAGGATGATGCAAGTCTTGTAAATGGACAAATACAATGAGTGGCAAGACAGATGGAAGTGTGAACTTACGGTTTCGCTGGGAAAGATGCAAGTTTTCGTGCTGGTGAGGGAAAACTGGTAACTGCGGCGACAGCAGCACATTCATCGTGACAGCAGAGCGTCAAGCGACCGTGCGATGCTGTGAGTACCGACTGTCGCCGTCTGAAACAGGATGGCCGGGGCGCTGATGATGGAGTTGGAGTTGGATGGTCTTGTCTCGATGGCCTGTCCAGGATAGATTATTTGTATTTTTACGATATCCGCCACGCTAGTCGATCCCGAGGGCCGCAATCATCACCGTCCGGATGGCAGGGGCGAGGGGACAGAATGGAAAGAGGAGAAAGAGAACGGCGAGAAAAAGATGTGACGGGCTACTGCAGTGGAATAAAGAGCCAGAGAGCGGTCAACGGGGCCTCTGCATGGGTGCCCGGCCAGTGCAAGGGCAGCAGTTGAGTTGTTGTGAGCGAGTGGGTAGCAGTTTAAAGGATGCGGAGACTCGCAGCTGGTCAGGTTGCGTTCCAGGGATGGCAGAACCTGCTAGCGGCCTCTGGAGCCGCTGCAGCGCACCGGACACGTGACGGCTCCCGTAGCGTTCGCTGCGCTGCGTCGCGGCGGGCTGCTAGCGGAGGCCTGCCGGCCTGCTACAGGCCCGTGGCGCCCCAGAGCACAGCGCCGCTGCCCGCTAGAAGACGGTCGCACGTACAGTAGGCTCGTTCGGCGCGGGTGCTCTTTTACGTCAGTCAGTGCCAGAGTAAGCCTCAGCGGCCTCAGCGGGTGAGCCGGCAGCTGGTTGGCCGGTTGGGCTGCAACGGCACTAGCAGAAAAGCGCCAGCACTGCGCTGCGCGCTGTATGTACGAGGATGGAGACGCTACAGCTTTCACGGCAGCTAAGCGCAAAGATTGAACCTTCAATGGGTCAATTTGATCGTTTCAGCTGATCTCGTCTCGAGGGAGCTCGCTTACCACTGTGTTGCCTGGAGTCTCTCCCAGCCCTCTGTCTCTTCTTCTCTTGCAGACCTTGTCGTTTTCTCTCCGGCGCTACAGTGCCTTGACCCTGCAGCGTGCCTGAGCTGTGCAAGGGAAAAGTTTCATAGCGCAAGGCAAGGAGGGCCCCTTGCGGATCCCGATCTGTTTGTTTGCTCGGAAAGCCGCATGGCGAGCCTTGACTGTGGGCGTGGGAGGCTAGTACTAACGTCCGATTCTCACTAGGCCAGTAGGCATTGATTGACCTCAATTAGACCACCGCTACGCCGTGCCCAGAACTGATCCTGTTACAGTTCAAAGCACGACGACTGAACAATTCATCCTCGCACAGGCGGCTGCATAGACGGAGCTGGTGCTCCGTAATACGTGCTGCCACGACCACTGCCACGGCCACTGCCACGACCACCGCCACGACCTGCTTCTGCAGGACTCATGTATGAGCAGGGCCATTCGTAGCAGCAACGTCAATGCATCGAGGCCGGCAAGGGAGCCAGAGTCATATCATTTCGCCTCTGCGACTAAGTGTGCAGCCCACCTGCAGAGCTAGACCCGGCCCAATACGGCTCAACTCCTGCACTCCTCGCGGCGGCATCTCATAACTCCATGATCTAAGGAGCATGTAAAACATGATTTTCAGCAAGAGTCCCTCGCACAAACGCCTGGTCAGTGCCATTGCGACCGCAAACACGACCAGTCTGCGCTTCTCATTTCAGTGCGCACGTTCCAGCCCTCGAAATCGGTAGTTTCAATCGCCGGCCCAGGGCTGTCCAATAGTCCGTACATATACTGTCCAAGCTGCGGGTTGATGTCAATGTGGAGTTGTAGCGTGTTAATGCAGCCGTGCTTAAAGACAAATCAACAGCACCACGCATGCTGTGCCTAGCAAGGTACACGACTCAGCCCGCATTCGGTAGCTCGTACGAATCACTTGTCTCCTTGTGCTTCTCTCACAATTTTCCTGCTCTAGCTGCTTTGCGCTGTCATATCACTGGGAGCCTTTTCAACATGCGTGTCACGCTAATGCCGGGCAAAGACGTGGCCATGCGCCACTTCGTCACCTCGGCCATTCAGGAGCCTGCGGTGGCCTGGCGTGACACGGCGAGAGTGTGTGGCGCGAATCCTGCCCTATGCTTCTGTATACTTATGGGATAGTGTTGGTTTCCAGATGGTTGTTGCCGGATAAAAGCAGCAGCAATGGCGTGCATAGTCGTGGCACATCATCTTTTGGCGCTGGATTGGCTTTTTTAGAAGAGCCGGCCTCGTTTTTGCTTCTCGGAGCATAGCATATGGGCATTAGCCTCTTGCTTGGCTCCTCTTCCCCACTTAAAACTCGGGTATTTATCGCTTTATCGATATGAAGTTTTGTCCAGGGCCCAAAAAAATTTCTGCTGGCATACTGATTCCGTGATACTGGGTACGTCGATGCACATAGAAGCTGGATTCCTATTCCGTCCACAACCTCCTCACAATGGCAGCCACAGAAACAGAAACGCCTCAATTGGCAGAGGTGGACAACGTGGCCACTTCTAGCAAACGAAAGGCCGATGTCGAGGAAATTGAAGTCGATGTAAACGCACCAGAGCCACCGTCAAAACGAGCGCGCCGTGCCCTCAAAAAGGGAAAGGCATTGCCGACCAAGCCCTCAAGCGACGACGAAAAGGAGGATAAAGATGAACAAAAGGATGGCAAGGACAAAGTCCGCTCCGAACATGGCGTCTGGATTGGCAACCTGCCGTTCAGGCTGACCGGGGCGGAGCTTCGCACATGGTTAATAGACAACGCTGGAGGCGTCATCACCGAGGAATCGATTACGAGGGTGAAGCTGCCTACAGTAAAGGACGCTAACCGGCGCAAGGATGAGAAGCCTGCGAACAAGGGATTTGCCTACGTGGACTTTGCGGATATCGGCGCCAAGGTTGCAGCTATTGCGCTCTCAGAAACCGACTTGACTGGCCGCAAGCTGCTCATCAAGGACGCCAAATCGTTCGAGGGCCGCCCCGCCAAAGAGAAGGAGCCCGAGGCTGCGGCTGGAAATTCAGAAGGGAATTTAGATGCAAAGACCGATCAGCGTCAAGACGCAAACGCCAGCCGAAAAGTTTTTGTTGGCAACCTCAGCTTCAAGGTGACCGAGGACGACTTGATCAGAAACTTTGAAAAGTGCGGAGAGATTGAGTGGGCCAAGCTGGCTACGTTTGAAGACTCGGGAAAATGCAAGGGATATGGCTGGGTCAAGTTCAAGGAGCCTGAAGCCGCCGCCTGGGCCGTCAAGGGCTTCGTCAAGATCAAGGAACGGGTGGAAACCGAAGACGACTTCCGTGACGACAAGAGCGACGACGAAGCAGAGGACGAGGACAAAAAGGAGAAGTCAAGCGCAAATCAGAAGCAGTTCAAGACGAGGAAGTGGTGGGTAAACCGCATGCTGGGCCGGGAACTGAAGCTTGAGTTGGCCGAGGATGACCGGGTGCGATACAAGAAGAGGTTCGGCAAGGATGCTCCCAAGAGGGCGGACGATACGTCGAGACCTCCCAGGAGAAGCAGGCCGGACGAGAGAGACGACAGCAGAGGAGCCAAAGTATCAGAGCCTGCGCCATTCAAGGCCGCAGAGGACATTGCTGTTGCTCGTCTTACGGGTGGCTTAGTACAGCATACGGGAACCAAGGTTACGTTTGACTAGCGTCGGCTATCTTGTGACCAAGATACCCTCTCAGCATTTTTCTTGTTACTTTTCTTGATTTACTTTATTAACTGGCAATGGAAATTCTTGACAAATGTATTTTCTTGAATTGATCTAGTCCCGTTTGTGATGTAATTTGTAATGTATACCTCGGTGGTCAAGGCGAACCCCTCAGTATTCCATCCGCCCGGTTGCCGGGCTCTCCGCAATTCTTAGTCAAAAATACCGGCAGTGGTAAACATGAAGATCGATGCTGCAGCTTCACTCTTCGGCTTTCATTCTACCTTTTTATAAACTAGGGATACCGTTACAGAATCTATGTAAATTCTTGTTGAGTTTATCGAGCATAATTATTCATCAAGATGTATGAGGCACAGATTATATTCACGCTAGATACAGTGTGTCCCTGGTATGCACTCTTCGTTTATAAAATCTCATGAATCAATACTAATTGCATGTAGGACATATATAGCCAAGAAAAAGTATTGCTCGAGTAGCCAATATATATATACTATTGAACATCTATTCACTGACTAACAATTCAACAGGCTGGATCAAGCCCTCACCAAATTCCGCTCTTCTCCCTCATCATCCTCCATCACTTACACCCTGCATTTTGAACCCTACCAGCTCAGTCCAAGCTTCCCACCCGGTTCAGTCGACAGAAAAGAATGGTACTTTGAGCACAAGCATAAAGGCATGGTCGAAGCGGAAGACGCCTTTCAGTCGCAGCTACGCAGACGCGCCGAGCCCGTGGGCATTAATTTCAGATTCGACGGCGCCATGGGAAACACGCTCCATGCACACCGCGTGATCCAGTATTTTCAACAAGTCAAGGGCTCTGAGATGTCCAACAAGCTGATTGATGCTCTTTATATGAGAAATTTTGAGCAAGGACTGCATCCTTCAGAAGATGAGACCTTGATAGCGTCCTGCATAGAGGCGGGCATTTCGGCAGAGGAAGCAAAGAAGGTGGTATTGGATAAGGACTTGGGTCTGGCTGAGGTGCAGACCAAGTTGAATGAGGTTAGGAGGGATATAGATGCGGTGCCGGTGATTGCGATTGAAGGGAAGAAGAGGGATATTACGCTGACGGGATCAAAGGAAATTGAGGAGTATCTGAAGGCGTTGGAGAGGATTGCTAAAGAGAGCACTTGATTGTGTATTCTACGGGAAATACGAGTGCCAATAGTTCTCTCGGAAAATGTTATTAGATAGTAACAGGCTAAGTAGAGTAGAGTTATATTATACTAAGACTGAAACACTAAGAATTACTTGTAAAAGAGCGTCATGACCGTAGTGTACATAAGTGTCCTCCATCCAGATATCAATACATAAAAGATACATCAAGGACAAGCCTGTGAATGAATGGTATAAGAAAGAGAGGAAGAAAAGAAAAAAAAAACACCGAACCGTTACCAATATCATGTCGTCGTATCATCATAACCATCGCCATCCATTACCCGCACCCCTTTTTAAGACGGGCTGTAAATCAAGGGCACCATCGCGCTCCGGCTATCCATTGCTCTCCAATCCTCCATCACCACATTTCTGCCGCATCCACTCATATCTCTCGCATTCATATATCGACGTGCAGAGGCCGCATCTACCATTCTGTTCTTATTCTTCTTCTCATAAAACTCTTTGCTGAGTTTCGCCAACACGGCTTCTTTGGCCTTCTGCAACGCGTTTGCTCTAGCATCCGCATCTTCGGCAAAGAGGCGATGATTTTGTTCTTTTTCCAAGCTGCGCTGTATGCTTGACATACCCTCATTAGGTCCGGCCTGATGAGGGGAATAGGGAGAGTAGATGGCCGGTTGAAGGAGGACTGGCTGGGGTGAAGAGGAGATGATGGGAGACGTGATGGACAGCGGTTCGGGAATGGCAGAGTAGGCGATTTGGCTGGAGTCGGTAGAGAGACTGAAACGAAGCTTTGATGGTTTTTGGCCGTGCACAGAGGAGGAAGATTTGTGGCTGTGAGAGGATAAGGGAGGCGAAAGGGGAGATGGATATTCAGGGGCATGTTCCTTCTTTTCTTCCTTGGAATGCTTTCTGTGGTGTCGACGAACACGTCTTCTCGTAGTCTCCGTAGAAACGCTGGTATCTGATTCTCTTGGTCCATCCAAGTCATTTGTGGATCCTGATACTGCATATCTTGCATTATCATCCAAAGTAAGACCACCGAGGCCTAGATCCAGATCCATCAGCTCTCTGCTAGCAATCTCAGCTGCCGCACTTGGACTGGGCAGTCCCTCTTCGCTTATGCTAGCTACAGGAGAGGACAAGTACTCCAAAGATGCTGCAGCTCTGCTTCGATACCAATCGCCATCACTCTTCGTTACGGATGCCAGTGCTTCATCCCAGCTATCGTTATTGGTAAGGACGACATTCTCAAAGCCAAACTGCTTGACCGTCTTTTGATGGGAAGCAATCAAGCTCTTCAACTGAGGGGAGTTCATGACGGCATTACGGATTTGCAGATAGCGCAGCTTAGGGAAATGCATGGGAGACCGGAGAGGCCGCGCGGGGAGAGGAGACATTGCGGACGTGATCTCGTGGAAGAGCTTCTTAGAACTGCGAGGCGGCGCGAACAGGGGGTCGGCGGACAAGGCAATGGGACACGGGCCTTTGGCACCAATCCAGGCAAATGTGAATTTGTCTAGTCTTTGAGAGAAACAGCGGATGTAGTCATCGAGGATTTTGAGATGGTCAAGGCCAGGGGAGGGGCCGTAAAAGTCCCATGACTCGACGGTGATGTGTAACTTTTTGATTTGCTGCCATCTACGATTGGCGGATGGAAGGCTGCCTATTCCGTTGATGAACTTGAGGCAGTTGAAAGCAGCGGGATGGAGTGATGAGAGAGACAGCTTATTGAGTTTCAACATTGGCGTGCGTTCAATAGCGATGCGTACGCTGATGAGGGCATAGTCGACAATGTCTCTTCTGTACCTCTCTCGGGGATCTTGGTCGGGACAACGAATGGTCAGATGCCTCATGTTGGGAATATATCCCATGGCATATATGAAGCTGGGGACATTGGTGGCGGCATGGAACAGAGGAGGATACTGCTGGGTCAGTATCTCTCCCAGCTCAGTGTTGGCGTACTTGGGCCGCCGTGTAAGTGCCGATTCCATGGTGGTGAGCGGCTTATACGAAAAGGTAATTTCTTCACCTGTCTTTGGATGGATCAGTGGTGGGAGAAACGTCGCATCCGAGTGAGCAAAGCAAAAGGTCAAGTGCTCAACGTGATGTCCAATTCGCCCCAGTGCAGCAATGCGCGAGGGCCTCGTGAAGGTATTGGGTGTGAAGGTGACATGGATGCGGGTGAAGAGGCGCTTGGTGACCAAATTGCAGCAGGCAGAGGAGGTCTTGCGGATAGCGCAGATGTCTGAGATGGAGAGATATGTAAATAAGATTTCTTTGATGCGGTCGCTCCTCAGCGTGGCGATGAAAAGTTGTTCGGTGGAAGCCATATCTGTCTCATGTCGTGGGGGCTGATAGACCCTTGAATAATGGCTGCGGTTGATATGTTTGTTTCAAGTGCCTTGGGGAGATATAACTGGCAATTACTATGGCTGGAGCCTTAGTTTGGTATGATGGCAGCGTAGGAGATGGATTTGATGGAGCTGTGAAATACCAGGGAGGTATCCAACAGCTGCGATATGGAAAGGCGAGAGGCTACCAATGAGATGGAAGCTAGAGACTTTGAAGGCTTTCTATGTATATTATTATGTTTTACCAAAACAGCAAGATATTGAATACAAACCAGTATTCCCACAGTTTACTTCTCTGATAAATCCAGGATACCAGAAGAACTCAGGAGCGCGTACTACGCTGTATATAGTCTCCCACAACCCTAACCTCGTCCTTCTCCCAAAGCCAAGCATTAGGCATATAACCCTCCCCAAGCCACTACTTTTCACGAGATACTCACTGGACACCGCTCATCCACTAGAACCGAGTATACAAGGATAAAATAGAAATTTCGACTTCAAGTCTCCGTAGTGCCAGCTTCCCTCTTCCGCGCTCCAATCATCCTGCAGCTCCCTGCATCGCCAAAGTCGCCGGCCTCAGCAACAACTAGCCAATGACTCACCACCATAACGCACATTGAAGAAACAAAAAAGCATTAGAGCCCAATTTTTTCTCGCGACCAAAAGACGCCCAGGCAAACTCGTGTCCGCATCAGAAGGCCGCGCCAGCAAAATGAGACCTACTTAGACAGCGGCTTGCAGGGATGGTCTTAATGCTTTTGGTGTTTCCGGCCAGCCAGTGGATTGGCGATGGTGTCGGGAGTGCATAAGCGTGGGACAAGGGTTGGTGGTTTTTTTTCTTTTTTTTCCTGGTTGAATTTTAGATCCAATTGATTTCAATATTTATCCTGGTTGTAGCAGCAGTGGCATCCGACACGACTTTACTTTATATTGGTCACTCGCGTAGAGGGCCAAGTTAAAGCTTGACGTGAAGCCTGAGCGTGATTTCGTGAGCCGAAATGTGCCTATTAGAATTGCTTACCCTCCATCTTCAAGTATAAACGAGATCTTAGTATTGATTCTACCAAATCATCAATTCGCTAAACCAGAGTTTCCAAAAGATCCCGTAGCCACGTCGATATGTTTCATCGCACCCTGTAATTGAAACTTGGGCCTCTCTTGGGCCGTTAAAATCTGCTCGTCTTTTCATCCCAACGTTTCCGATTTTCATGCCCAACACGGCAAGGAATTGGCAAAATCGCATCTATTCCTCATGCTAGCTCAACCCACTAGCCACGTCCTCCCATGATCGAATCCACTAAATATCCGCTTTCCCCAGCCCCGTGGCGCGGTGAGCCAAGCGTTTATCGCCTATTAACATCCGTTCGCTCTCTTCTGATAACGTCACGAAAGTGTCTCCATCGCAGTGAGCTTGAAATGGCTGGATGCTGCCCTGTTATTTGAATACACAGATTACGTTATCTGACCAATTAGTAGTACAAGGTAGTGCTCCCTTTTCGATATTCAGGCACACTGAGACATGCAGCATCTCCACGTAAGGACTTACAGGAGAGTATCCAGCTTGCGTGCCCCTCTGTAGCATATGCTCTCTGTCTTCTCCAAATGAGTCGTCTCATGTGTTTGTTCTATCTGTTCTATATACATCGATTATATCGATTAAGCTCTTGACACCTTTCATTGGGTGTCTGTCTATCAGATTGGACAGTACCGCTGTCCCCTATGGAATCTTTGCCTGTAGAATGAATGTAGGCGGGTATCAAAATGTCCAACACTTGCTTGGTTCATTCGTCATCCTGAAAAGCTCTATGCTTGCAGCTCATTTTATCATCAGATTTCATTGGAAATTGCGACATTGCGGCCACCATCATTGAGGTAATATGCCACCTCAATATTTACCACCCCTGAATTTCCCTCCTCGGTAGCCTCTGCCTCCTCCTCTACCGCCTCGTCCACCTCTATCACCTCGTCCACCGCCTCGTCCACCGCCTCGTCCTCCTCTTCCAGACGCGGGAGGCGGGGGCGGTACGTTGCTATAATCCCGCGAGGACGCTGGTGGTCTGGCAGGAAGCGAAGATCCGACTTGTCCTTGCGAATAGGCCTGTCTTGCTGTGCCTGGTGGACGCCTATTCGACGGGTGTGGCGGCAGAGGAGGCGGTGGGCCAGGTGGAAGAGGAGGCTGCTGGCTTCCATTGGGGACATGGAGGTTGGTCGACACTGTAATACGGCCCGTCCGCACTGGTTTCGGTGCAGCTCGATGGCCCAGAAATTCCACATCGTCAGAGTCCTCGCCCTCGGAATAGTGGACATCGTTGGCACGGGAAGCGTGGCCACGGATTCTCAGGTCGGACTGTTGGCTTGATGCAGGCTCCGCAACACTGGAAATCGCAAATGAGCCGCATGTCGGGTCGAGATATCGAGCCTTATTTGCCAAAGACCAGGTTGGATTTGGCGCGGAATCTTGATTCTGTCTGCAGTCTCCGGAAAAGTGCTTGGCGCTGCCGCAAATAGAACATGATACTGGTAAAGCCGTAACAGTCTTGATCGTTCCCGTTTCAGGATGGAACGACCGCCAAATCTCTGTGCAATCAGTCTCTAGATGGTCGGACGAGTTGCAATAGCTACACGCAAGCCCTTCTTGCTTGGTGAGGGCCAGCTTCTCCGTACAGGAGACAGCTTTGTGGCCAAGTTGGTTGCATTTCCGACATCTGAGTTTGATGGATGTGCACACATAATCCCAATGGTCGTTTTTCCCGCAAAACTTGCACGAATCGTTTGTGCAGCTGTCTGCAGTGTGGCCTTCTCGCCCACAGAGCAAGCACATGTTGGATGGATCAGCAGCCGATGGAAAGTATCGGTGCTGCTGCTGCAGGGCGTTATCGCCCGACGGAACGCCTTCTCGAGGGGGCATGGTGTTTTTGGTAGGCTGAGGTTCTGGTTGCTGCTTTTGCGCGTTTGAAGGCAGAGGTTGTGGGTTCACGTCGACGACGAAAACACCGCTGGCCTGCGTTGGCAATTCATCAGGCCGGCCATCGTTGGCAGTGGGTTGATTGGCCTTATAGTCGGGCGTTTGCAGCTGGTCAGACACGCCTGCCTGGCCTTGGGGCTCACTCAAGCCATTTGCAGTTGGCTGCGCGTCCGCAACCGCCGGCCGAAGAGATGCCAGCAATTGTGCCAGGGATGCGTCTTCGAAGCTATCAGCGCCCAGCTTCGCACTGCGCTTTTTGTTCGACTTTAATCTGCTGTGAATATCAATGTACTGAGCGTAAGCAGCTCGAATCAATGTAGGTGTAAGCTCAACAGCTTGCGATGAGTTGTTTGTATACAGAAGCTGCACCCATTCCTTGAACCTTGCAGGCCATGAGCCTTCCCTTTGCTGTGAAAATACCGGTAGTTGAAGGGATAGCGAGTCGTTTGTATAAACTGGGGGCTCTCTAGGGACAAAGACAGCGGCTGATGCAGAGTCCCCTGACCTTTTGCCCTCGCTACCCGTCTCAGGAGTGCAAGCCTCACTCTCGAAATCCTCATCAATTTCTCCTTCTTCGGACACCTTGGCGCCAGTGATGCTATCAGCAGAGGCAGAGTTTATCCGAGCACGCTTGGAGCGTTCTGTAGAAGCATCTGGCCCATCGTTGCTGACCGGGCTGTCGTTTGGGGATCTCCTTTTCTTTGGCAAGGGACGCTCGTCCTCGCTACTTAGAAGGCTGATGAAGTCCCCTGAGTCTGATTGAGCTGCAGCCATGGCGTTGGAGGCCGGGCTAAGCCAGGGTCTTTAACGGTATTGACGTGAGAGCCTAGTCTTCTGAAGGGTCCAATCTCTCATCAATACATGTGCCTGTAACTTGCAATAGGTAGATGGAATGCAGATGTATTGTAGCCTCTCAGCACAGTTGATTCGTTAGCAGATGGTGGATGAGATGGCTGCTTTTGAATTTGATATTCTCCGAAATCCAGACGCGGATAGCGCGAAGCTAGCAAGCAGGAAGGTGCTGAAGACTCCCACACGGGACTATCTCGTTGATGCAATTGTTGTCCAGGTAGCGTGAGCTCAGCAATTTACTGATCGAAACCGGGGCTTTGAGCCACTCTAGATTTCTCTGTAGTTGTCAAGTTGAGGATCGCGAAACCAATTGAATTGAAAGACGGGCTGCTAATCTTTGGGCGATAACCAGAAAAAAATGTAAGCGGCAAATTGCGGTCCATGTTCTTCCGAAGTTTAGCCATTGTGCTGCTAGGCACGCTGTAGTGCAGAAGTGCAAAAGCACGCCCAAGTAGCGGGAGCACCAATCTCAGTAGGCGTTTTGAGATGAGCTCTTGAATATCTACAACTATGTACGCGCAGTCATTTGGGGGGGGATTGTCGCAAAGTTACTGCTACTTAACAATGTAGAGTGGTAGTGTTCATGTGCTCTTAGATAGCTCCTTTCTAGGCTCTTTTTTGTGCCATAGATGAGATAAGCGAGAGAGCCCGAATTCATGTCCCTGATAGGAGCCATCGATTGGAAACCACCAATAAAAGGCTCTGGCGTGAATCCGGTTGGACTAGCCTGGAGATTTAATAATGCATCTCCTAAAAATAACTACAAGCAATAAATGCACGTGGCTCTCCGTCGTATATGACGGACTAGGCATGATATAGAAAGCAGCTCCCGAATGACACAGCATCTTCCTGGTCAGCCATGTGTGGGAAAGCTATTAGCCGAGTCCTTAAAGATATTGTGCGGAGCTCAAGTGGCGTATTTGGTTCATTTGACACTGTTAATAACAGACAATCCCTGTCGCCGAAATGATGAAGCAGCCTTCTGGAAGTTGAAGATCCAGGCCAGCTCCTTGGGCGTTTGTGGCTGTACCCCCAAACCCCGTATCGTAATAGGCATCTACTCATATCTCCAAAGAGCCAGCCAAGGGACCTGGCAATCTAACGTTGCTACGACCTGTCTAGAAGAGTTAGTCCTCTCATAGCTGCTTCGTACTAGCCAGATGATTTTTCCCAGATCCCCCGGATGGCGGCTAGATTAGATGATAGGTATGTGCATAGGGGATACGGAGCTCCAAGCATGGCATGGATGGTTAGATACTACCTAGAAAGGGAATCTGTGGTACAATCAGTGTCACATGTGAAACCTCATTGACTGCGTTTGCAGATACTTGTTCTTCCATGTTCTTGACGATGGTTCATGAATGTCGCCAGCATTCAACTCCCACGCCACTCTCAGAGCCGGCTAAAGGGTCCTTTGCGCTGTTGGCTCTACGGGCCGCTATAGATATCGGCATGCATTAGCCTCAGCAGTCAAGCAGCTTCAATTTGCTGTGGCCGGCTGTTATCTCCTGTTCCTGCAGGTACTGCGGCGCCCCTTTCCAGGGTGTCTCCACAGCTTCCATAACCTGATCCCGGCCAGAAACGTCGTCAGCCTGTGCTGCGCTGTCCTGTCCGTCCGTGCCACCGCTCAGATGCGTCTCCAAGTTCCCTCAGGACAATGGTTAAGCGAAAAGAATCTAGGGTTCGAGGCGAGGGGCTTGAAAAAGTGAGGTCTGGTGTCTTGCCCCTCTGCATATAATGCGCGTAATGCGCCGCTTTTCCGCGATTGCGTGAGCACTCCATACATTGCATGCCACCAAAGTATCTGCCTGCGCAGCGCTGTCTATTCGGACCTACAAGTACCTACAGGCTACAGAAGACACCTATACGCCATTATACGACCGAAACCATCGAATCGTGTGACTGCTGAACTGCTGCCTTTCAAGGAACTGGACAGATTCGTATTCGGTCTCTGTCTCCACTCGGACTTCAAACCAGCCAACAATTGGCCACCTTTGGAGAAAGGTGTTCCTTGACGCCTGTCAGCCGCGCTTGCGCTGTACCTCCGCCGCCTCTCTGGAGACGAGCCGCGCCAAGTACCTGCCTACCAAGCTCGTGCAGCTTACTACTACTAGTACTGCAGCCCCCCAATTACCTAAGCGTCGGCCTTAGAATTGCGCGTCGTACTCCGTGCGTGCGAGGTGCCTTGAAGTAGCATTCGACGCATAATCATCAGCACAAAAAAATCTCCAACATGCCGTCTACTTGTCTCCCGCCATCCTCACAGACTCTCGACGCCGGCGCAAAGCCCGCCAGCAGCCGATTCCTCGACATGAACGATCGAAGCGCCGGTGGTCGCCGGAGGAGGTCTAGCAGCATCCTTCAGGTCTACCACGAGCCCCCCGAGACGCTCGAGCAGATGAGCGACCAGGCTGTTATTCCAAACCTGAATGCCAACTGGACAAATCAAAAAGGTTAGTTTTCAGTCATATCTGCATCCTCTGCTGCAATGTTTGGTGGCCGATTCTAACGTGCCGTTGCTTCGACAGGAGCTTGGACTATCCACATCGTCATCATCGCCACTCTCAAGATCCTCTACGATGTTATCCCGGGCAGCTCTCAGGAGGCCTCGTGGACGCTGACCAACATGACGTACATGGTTGGCTCCTACATCATGTTTCACTACGTCCGCGGCATTCCCTTCGACTTCAACGGCGGTGCCTTTGACAACCTGAATATGTGGGAGCAGATCGACAACGGAGCCCAGTACACGCCCACCAAGAAATTCCTGCTGAGTGTCCCGATCGTGCTGTTCCTAATTAGCACACATTATACGCACTACGACTCGACTTACTTTGTCATCAACTTCCTCGCTACACTCGCCGTTGTTATTCCGAAGCTACCATTCGTAAGTACAGTCCAAGGCTTGCATAAAAGCCAAAATTCATTGACAATGCGAATCCTCAACTAATTCTTTACATCAGAGCCACCGAATGCGATTCAGCTTCTTTTCAGACATTCCGGAAGCAGAGTAACTGTTCCCTTCGGACTACACACGGCGTTTTGGGGTTCGCATCAATATGAGCTTAGGCAACAGGCAGTACAGCACAAATACGAAAGATCAAGAAAGAAAAAAAAAAAAATAGGAAAAAAAAGTTTAGGGTTGGAAGGTTGGGAGTAGCGGGGCAATGGGTATCCTATACAAAGCGAGCATATCTGTTCTATGGTTCCATCCACACATAAGGTTTATTGTTTATCAGCGATAGTTTTCAAGGACAACAATTGGATTTGAAGACATGCAAATACCGGTTTCTTTTTCTGCGGGTACATACTCAGAGACTCTCAAGGTGATCGGCTAGATCAAGATTGCGAGGCTGTGGCTATGCCCATGTGACGATCTGTTGGCGGCAGCCTCGTTTTGACAACATACACGCTTCCGTATGGCTCGGCCTAACTTGCTAGTACACGATATGTGGCGTTGACCACTAAAGCAAGTTGATCGAACGCCCAAATAAATGGAGCGTTAAGTTTGTTTGGAAGGTGTATAAATTGGTGTGATCCTTTCTGTTGAGAGGGATTTCATTCTTCGATTCGATTTATTTTCCATCTCGTCTTGAAATCAGGAAAAAACAGATCTCTTCATTCTTGTATTTCAAACATACAACAACAATCTTCAACCATGCGCTCTCTCTCTTTGGTAGCCTTGGGCCTTGTTGCCGGCTCTCCTCTGGTCCATGCAAACCCGAATGGCGGATACCTCAAGTCTGTGTACAGCGGCAGCATGACCGTGGCAAGGAGTTCAACGTTCGATGATAGCCGCTTCTATTCGCTCTGGGTTTCTATCATGCAGCATTTGCCGACAGTTACCGTGACCACCTCTGTCACTACTACCATTACTACCACCACTACTACTACCGGCGATGAGCTTGATCAAATAATCACTATTTTACCCCATCCACCGATTACCCATCTGGAGGTCACCAAGACGGATTCAGTCTACTCGACTGTCACCAAGTCCGTTTCTTCTTGCAGCAGTGCTTGCCCGTCTATGGCTGTTGTACCAGTTATTCCAAAAACTACCACCAGCAGTGCCAAGATGTCGAGCTCTGCTGAACCATCGAAGAACGGCACCATGCCAACGTCCACTCAAATGGGAGAACCAACTATGAGCTCTACGACCTCTAGACGCGTGGGTCCCAGCAGTACGCCGCCGCCTCTGAACGGGCCTATCAACGGCGTATCTACGACTGCCGCTCCGGTGATGGGCGCTGTGGCTGTCGCCATTGCCGGATGGGTCTTGATGGTATAACGGGGGATTACGCGTATGGACTTTACAATACAGGTTTTTGATTTATTTAGGGAGGCAATTTAATGGATTGGTGGGAAGTTTGGCTGTTTTATGCTTTTCTATGTACTGGGCGGAGGCGTCATTTGGGGGCAAAATTTGGGGTAAAATTTGGAAGAAGGGAAGAAAGAATGTAACAAAGATACACTTTATTCCTTGATTTCTTCTTTAGCTGGATTTAGAATGAAGAAGAGGCGTTGCAGAATGAAAATTTTGGGTGGATTATGACTCATATGGCTTTTAACTTGCTTCTCGCTTGTGAAGTTGTACCCGTAAAGTTGAACACATGACCAGTCTTTATCTTCGGGCCAGGTACCCTCTGATACTACCTAGATGCTATTTATAAATCTTGGCTGGCCTTATCTCGGAAACGAAGACGAATCAGTGGGTTTCGTCGAAGTTTTGAAAGGAGGCGTTTTGTATCTTTGTATTTAGAAACAACATTGAGTACATACATGTACAAACATGCCAATGAGAAACAATTTGACAACACGAAACATCCTGTCTGTTTCATGGACTATAATACGCCTTTGCTACGGATTTGTAATTCTTTCGGCTGCACCGGAAGGAAGATGGAATATTCGGAGATTTCGTAGAGACCGCGCCTCACAGGCCCCCCCCCCTAGATGGTGGTTTGGACTAGGGTCGCCAATCTAAGCTTATTCATGTGGACTTGGATGTGTACCTAGCCATGGGGTACGGGATTCATATGAGCGCTTTTAGCAGCTGTATAGGGTTAGATGCATCATTATGAAGGCCAGAATGCCGGAATACTTACTTCCAGTGGTCTCCGAGTCCCATTATTCTCATCCTGGAGATTTATGACGGAGGCGAGATCAGCCTTGGACTGCTGTAGCTCTACCACTCTCTAAATATGAAGGCCAGTGAGTACACGGGTATCTAGATATTGACAGGATGTATTCGAAGTAAATGGTAGCTTGAATACGTACCTCTTCGAAAGAATCTCGTACAATGAACCGAACAGTGGTTACTTCTTTAATTTGCCCGATACGGTGGATTCGAGCCAGCGCCTGGTCTTCTAGCGTTGGATTCCTAAGTAGATACATGTTAATATGGCTTCTAACATCGTCATAGAAGAAGTAATATTACCAGTGAGGCTCCATGAGATAGGCTCTCGAAGCCTCGGTTAGCGTAAGGCTATTAAGAGAAAACGTTAGAGTGAGTTAGAATCTCTGACCGGTATGTGACTCAGTAAACTCACCCGACAGCGCCACAAGAAAGTGTTAACAGGAGAACACGCATGGTTGAATCCTCGCGAAATCTTTTGATAACATTTTGTCTGTCTTTCTGCGCCACCTTGCCGTCAAATCGTAAGCAAGATATGCATGACTGTTTTAAGCCAACTTCAATAATATCGAGAGTAGTTCGCCATGAAGAGAATACGACACTATTTCGTTTGTCAGCTCGGTGTTCAGCTTTAATTGAGGTATAAGGGCGCCGAACCATTTCGTATTATAAGGCTGGTTTAGTAAGTCGTTGATTAACATGGACACCTTGGTTGGTAGCTCAGCCCCTAAGTGGTTGAAAGTCACGTTGCAAGCATCGTCAGTCTCGAACATGTTGGTCGATATAGCTGCAGTAGGGCAGGGGCTTGCGTGAAAGCAAGACGGCAAGGCCATAGACTTTGTGTGTACGGATACACACGAAGAGCAGATAAACTGCAGACACTGAGAGAATAGCGACTTGGCAGGCGGCCTGGCTTCGTATAATACAGCCTCTGTTGAATCAGCGGTACAAAAGCAGAGGCCACACTCGATGCTGTTAATCCCACGGTATATGTTGAACATCCGCTGAGCTGCCTCTTCATTCCACTCATGTGATAGTGGTTATTGAACGCCCCAAGGCCGTATCGCATCTTATAATGCACACCAAGGTTGCAAATCATGCGCATTGCTTCGATTCTCTGCAGCATATTCGCATACGAGTGTGTACCACTAAATTTGCCAGTAGTAGACAGAGCTTGTTCTATGTGAGAGATGGTATACATCTTGGTCGCCTGGTATAATTCTCTCTCTGTTGGAGATAATTCCACAAACTGTTGCAAGTCGTGCCTTGGGGGGAGCTGGATAGTAGACTTTGGGCGTCGCAAAAGGATGCAGCTGGCCAGTCGTTGTAGGCGCTTCTCTGCTTCTTCTACTTTCCCGATTTTCCATAGTTGAGATATGTCTGTGTTAAACTTCTCTTCATCTGAATAGGGATACACTTGAAGGAATTTGAGGAGGGCCGTGAGATCGCCGAGCCTATTCTGTATAGGTGTGCCCGTTACAGCCCATCGCGAGACTGAGTCCAACGCACATACGGCGCGGGCCATTTTTGAGTTGCTGTTTCGAATGAAATGAGCTAATGTACATTAGCGTTTCTCTCTCTCTTCAAGCTAAATAACTTTAATTTTGAATGTGGGAGCGTAGATGCGACAAACCTTCATCTAGAATGATTCGTCGCCACTTTGTGCTGAACAGTAGGGAGCACGGCTTGCCAGATGCAACTTTCCAGTCAGAAGACACAGTATGATAAGTAGTCAGAACGACCAACGTGTCTCTTAAATCAGATTCAGCCACTAAGCGAGAACTTCCGTGATGTCGGCGATAGGGAATGCTGCTGGGGAAGATATGCCTAATAGCTTTGGTTAGCTCCATACAAAATCATGTGAACTGTTCCTATAGTGATCCCACTGATTCAGCTGCTCTTCCCAAGAGCCAAGGACTGAAGTGGAAAAGAGTGTTAGTGAGTGCCAGAACAATATACAGAACCAGGTCATTGGCGGCTATGCTTACGGGGAGGTGGTACGACAATCAATGTGCACCCAGTCGAATCTTCAGCAGCAGCCCCAGTCAGGGAGCTCGGGTCATTTGGATCGAAGAGCAAATCGGAGGCAACTAAAGATATCATAGACAATGTTTTACCCAAACCCATCGGGTCTGCTATGATTCCACCGTAAAACTGCGGCGGTGTCTCCTTTTGAACCGAATCTGATACTTTGTTGATGAAACTAGTTCAAAATTAATACACCAGAGATCAACACAGGTGAATGTGGTGCTGGAAAGAACTTACTGGGAACCAGTAGTTTCGGAATAAAGCTCCCATATGTCTGCTCTGCTTCCGTCCCAAGCCCAGCCTTGCTCTCGCTGGAGCATGAATGTTAAGGCTTGTAATTGATGACTATTCAATAGCAACACATTAGATTGACAAAAAGGAATGATAAGAGACATGTCAAGCAAGAAAAGTTTTTCGGTCTATCACCTTTGCATCTTTGTTCGAATTGAGCCAGGTTGTTTCGTCTCGGCCCAATCTTGCTGAGAGTTCAATATATCGATCGAACCAAGACGAGTCTGCGCATTCTCTACGCTAAAGGGCGCTGCAACTTCCTTGTCAAGATTGAAAGTCCAGATATCAGGCCCAGACTCGGCCGACAATCTGTGCGGGTTTCGGTACAAGACGTTCTGTGAGCAGCCGACAGGATCTTGAAGGTAAAGATTGTATTCTTCGAAAAAGCTGCCTACATCCTCGAAGAGACTATGAGGCCCGAAGAGAATCATATCTAACCGACATGGTGTAGAAAGCGGCGCGATAGATGACTGTATGGCATCTACATAGCATATGACTTGTAGCGTAAGATCTTCGTTCTCGCAGCATGCATTCGTAATATTGATAAAGTCTAAGTTTATTTTGCCCTTGATTGAAGCATCATTAATGCAGTGAAATCCGTGAGAGCTGTCTAATTGGACTGCGAATCTTTGAGTCGGCGATCCCTTGAGCCGACAAGCTCCGCTTACACTACCGCTTATGCCTCCTATCTAAAGTGCCAGTGTAAAAAAAGATGTAAATGCAGAACGAGGTCGGATAATTGGCTATAACGCACCATACCAAAACACACAAGTTGATCTTCATTGGAGGCTACCTGACTATGATCAGTACGGGAGTCCTCTGCACAAGACAATCTTGATTCATCGATGTTCAACTCCTCGTGAGGAGAAATCGCACTGGGAGGGTATTTCCTTGTTTCGAGAACTGCTGCCTTTTTGCGCGGGGGCTGTACGTCATCGTTCGAGTTGGAATTCTCGGGCTGCTGTCTCTTCAATGAGGTCTCGTTCAGATGGGACCCCATTCTGCTAAATTGGATGCAATCCACGAACAATCTTAGAGCTGCGGCGAAGCTGTTTGTCTACAGAAAAATCGCATGTAGAAAATATCCAACTTTAAAAATATAGCCTACGCATATTGATTATCACATATACGTGAAAGCAGTGAGCGCTGTTCGCCCAACAGAAAGCCTGCAGCGACGTGGACAATTTATAGCCAATACGTACATACATGTATGCAGGGCATAAGCACAGCCTTCCTGGGGCTGATTCGTGTAACACTAACACATATAAACTCGCCTCATCTAAAAACCTTCTCTGCCATACGTCAATAAATTTATACTGACTCTTAAATTAATAAACTTACCGCCATTGGGAGCTCACAATCTAGGAAGAAGAAAAAAAATGCCATTTCATCGAGGAATGTGCCCCGAAGCTGACCGCACGATGCGGGATGCGTTTGAAGACCTCCAAAGTGCAATCACAATACCGGACAGAATGCAGCTAGAAAATTTGGCACTCAATGACGTTGAACGAGCTGCATTAAAAGTCGAAAAATCGCTTGCAGCAAGTCAATCCTTGCGCAATATGAGAAGGCTTGCGCCTTTGTTCAGAGGATTGGAACACTATTCACACACAATCGAGGTTTTATGCAATGGAACGCCATATTTGCCATGGATTTGGGCGCCAATAAAGCTTGTCTTGGAAGTATGTACACCCGAACGGAGCATACTTGATCAAGGTACTTGTACTGACAGATTGGAAAATTTACGTACAGATATCTGCAGATTATATCAATGCGTTCGAATCGATCATTCAGGTTTATCACAGACTAGCGGAACCGTTAGCTCGATTCAGTACATTTGATCGTGCTTTCTCAAGTAACAAGGAAGTCCAAAAAGCTCTAGCAGTATATTACTCTGATATTCTCAAATTTCATGGAGAAGCCTACAAATTCATCCGACGAAATGGTAAAGACAATCTTTACGTTCTCTAACAGACCTCAACTAACCCTTAAACGCTATTTAGCATGGCAGCGACTCTTCGCCACTTCGTGGGGCCGCTTCCAAAGGCGGTTTGATAACATCTTTGCCGACTTGAAAGCACATGAAGATCTCATTGATAAAACAGCCAATGCCGCTAACATATCAGAGGCCAAAAGCATGAGAGAGAAATTAGAGACCTGGAGGCAACAAGAGGCTATCAAATTCATGAGAGAAGAAGAAGAAAAAACCAGTATTGAGTTTCAAGCCGTCTTAAACTTCTTAAGAATTGATGAATCGCATCAGATAAGGATCGCCGATAACCTTGCTGTGGAGGCAGACCAAAATCCAGGTTCCGGCCATTGGGTACTTCAACAACCGAAAATTCGATCGTGGGCAAAGCTCAGTCGTGATGCCCAGTTCGTGGTGCTTCACGGCGCTGTTGGAAGTGGGAAAAGTATTTTGGCGACACAAATTGGAACTTTCCTGCGCTCTTCAAAATATCTGGTGGCATCACATTACTGCACATACGTTTACCCCGAATCAACTGACTACAACAATATCATACTGTCTTTAATGATACAAATCATGCGCTTGGATCCAGAGCTTATAACGCTTTCTTACAACTGGTTTCTCGTAGATAAGAAGACACCAACTCGTTCAGTTCTTGATCAACACTTGCGCCTCTTAGTCGAAACTCTGGGGTCGTCAACATCCAAAACTCTTCATATAGTGATCGATGGGCTAAATGAATGTGATGAAAATACAGCAGCCAGTGTTGCAAGAACGTTAGAAAAGCTAATTGCTACAGCATCATCATCTGGATCTACTATCCTCAAGGTGCTTTTATGCACCCAGATGACACCAGCAATTACCAAAGTCGTCAAGAGGAAACACCAGGTATCATTATCTGACGAAAAAGAAAGAGTCAGTGAAGCCATCAGAGACTATACCTTGCGGAGAATAAGTGTCATTCAGCCGCAACGTGCTCAATTTCGCATCACTAATGATGACGTTGCGGCAATTGCGTCTCGGATCACGCAAAAAGCAGACGGTAAATTTTCTGCTCTTTATTCATGGCTTTATTACCTTTTATACTTGGCTAATGTTAGCTGTCATTAGGCATGTTTCTATGGGCAAGACTCGTCATAGAATATATGAAGGGCAACATGTTTTATAACCGCGATGAATTTTTAAAAGCCGCCAATAGCTTTCCTCGAGAACTTAGCGAGATGTGAGTGAGCCAACATCCTCTGATCAAAGTTGCCTTCCTTTTGTCATGTGCGAACATCTGAAATCTGACTTTATATCATTTGCCACCCTCCTAGTTTTGGGCGCTTGTTATCACAAATCTTGACCGGTCTCGATGAGAGATCTGTGCAGAGGTTTGGTTCTGTTTTGAATTGGATAGCGTTTGCGAAGCGGCCACTTCGCTCTCCTGAGCTTCTATCTGCTTTGGCATTTGACGCTGGAGATGAGCAAGTCATCGAGCCAGTCCCATCTTACATCCTTGATATGTGCCAGCCTCTAATACAAAAGCAACTTGATTCATCTTACACTTTCCTTCATGTGTCGGTCAGAGAGTAGGCTACTAATGGATCTGGCCTTTGCGCATGCGGGTTGCTGACTTTGGACAGTTTCCTGCAAAGCTCTGCATTCTCTATTACAGCAAGCGAGTCACTAAAGCGACATGGTTTAGCTACCGTCCGCTGCCTTTTGGCTAGCCAAAAGATATTCACGTCTTCATATCCAGAGACTGATAGAGCGCTGAGCATCCTTCGTGGGGTCTATGGCTTTCACATGTACGCCACTGAGTTTTGGATCGATTACGTTTTAGAGCACCTTGAACTTGACCAAGATCTTTTGTTCAAATCAGAATTTTTCCTCTCTTCTTGTCGTTTGGCAGAACAACTCGAGGCCCTAGAGCCCAATGAAGCGATCGTGGGAAATGGTTCGCTGAATTCGCGTCTTAATACTCTACGCCAGAAACATTACCCTTTATACAACACAATACAGACCGTGCTCTTGGAAAGGGGTAGAAAAACATTAACAGGTAACGGTATGTATTACATAAATTATTTCCTAAACTCTCTAGCTTTTATATCAATGATCTAACATGACATTAGAAAATGTTATCGACAACAACACCAGCGCAAGAGGCGTACCTCTTTTAAAGGAGAGATACCAGGCAACAATTCGCGAGCTGCTTGATTTCTCGACTTACCCAAGCGTCAGTTTCCACGAGCTTGAAAGATTTAAGCAGAATTTTAGAACATCAGCGTACACATGTCGAATCTGGTCGTGCCGCTATGCTATCTTTGGTTTCAACAGTCTCAAAGACATTATCCTCCATGAAGCTGACCATCGAAAGCAAATCTGCCACCATCCAAATTGCCAATATCCTGTCTTCAGCTCGGCAAAGGCATTAAGAGACCATGAAAAGAAATTCCATGTTCTAAGCAGCCAGGTAATCCCGCGAAAGTCGATCAAGAAGCATACACAACCAAGTGCCTTTGCTTCAAATCCACCTGCATCTCTCCCAGCGCCACTCTCAGACGGGTGGAAGTCTCTAGATATCGATATGGGGAAATTCCATTCTGCAGAGGATGACCCGCTTGATTTTGATTGGGACTCATTTCTTCTTGATGATGACAATGGCCACGAGGACTTCGTATTCACAGGCAGGTATTCGGGAATGGAGGGAATGGAGGGAATGGATGAAATGGGTATACTGGAGGGAATGAATATAATGGAGTAAAAAGTATTCACCAAGCGAGACATGTGGCTGGCAATTTAGAATGCCTACCTATTTCCAGATGTCGTAATTGTTAGTGTTTTACTAGGGAAATCGCTTGTAATTAAGATACAAAAAGCAAACAGAGAAGAAAAACAAGTCCTTCTACAGTTACATTCAAGCTATTGGCAGTACTGTGAAGCTTTTGAACATGACCGCCCGTAGCTGCCTCCCTTGTCTGCACTACGTAGAATAACATTAGATCAAGTCCATTATCCTAGGTTGTTGCGATAACGGCAGCCGGCCTTTGAGTCGTTGATCTGCGTAAAACCCGGCGCAGAGGTAGCGGCTCAAAGGAGAAGAGAATAACTGGTAGAAATTTCCTGGAACTTGGTTTCGCCGGAATCGGCATTTTACTACATCATCCACATGTGCCGCGTTTTTAATACCGTTTAATCTTCGACGGTTTCCCGACAATTGTTCCCTATTCAATTACTCCGAAGCCTCTCATTCTTAAGGTGTCTGAGGAAGCTTCAGCTAACGGTATTGTTTTCGGCGACTTTGGATTCCTGCAGCACTTCATATAAAAAGACGCTCGCTGGCATCTTCCGCTTGAATGCCTGAGAAACTTATGAAGGAAGCTTGGAAAGAGAATAGCCAAGTTGTGATATATTCGCAGCCTTGGTAAGCCACTCATCTCTTAACTCCTTCAAAAATCGCCTGGTCAATTAGAGTCATTATCAAATGACGTTTACTCCATTTGGTTTCCCCGTATCTTATGTCAAGACAGGTAGTTTTCCCATTGGTATAAGTAATACGGTGAGACACTTCACATAAGCCCAGTCTTCTGACCTGCATCAAAGGATCGATGGATGGCAGCCATTAGATAGATAGCCTTCTTTTTTATCACCTTTGCAAGAGAATACATAGTAAACAATAGTATGGGTGCCAGTTAGAAAAGCGCTGTCTGATAAGTAGAAAAGAATCTTAGCTTGTATATAGATTTGAACCTAATTATCTCGACTCTAATCCCAGCTTCGATTTGAGAGCTCCGATCTTCCAAATTGTTTTGTTCTTAACTCTCGCCACTCCCACAAATGCAGTGCTTAATTCAAGTCGTATTTTCCAATATTATTCTTAATTTATATCACAACACAACATCGCTCATATTTAGTCTCGGTGTGTATAAAAATAAAATACATTAGGATATTAATGACTAGTAAAGCAAACATGAAATCAGGTCTCAACACGCCCAATCCCCATGCCAATACGTCCCGCGCCCCTTCGTGGTATCATAATCAAAATCTTCCTCTTTCTCGCACAAAATAATCAAAACATTCTTTGCTGTATGTTCTCTCCCACTCACATCTTCATCCTTGTTTTTTTCCATTTGATATTTGTTTCTTGTCTAAAGACGGGTATAAACATCGCTAACATTATCATCGCTTCTTATAGAAAGAGAGCAGTTTCATCGTGTAGGTAGATAGAGAAAAGCCATTCCCTCTTTTAGTAGTCACCAGCCTTGCTGCGGTGAGCGTGACGCTTCTTGGAGCGACCAGCACAGCAGGTAATGAAGACCAGAACAGTGGCGATCAAGTCCAAGACGGCAGCGACGAGAATGCACCAGACGGTAGGACCCCATCGAGCGACGACGTTGTTAGGACCGCGAGAGTTGACAGCGTGCTTGATGATGCCAAAAGCAGCAAAGTCACAGGCCATGGCGACGAGGGTAACGACGAAGGCCAGGAAGGAAAAGAGAGAGGCGACAAAAGAGCCGAGGAAGCTGGTGCCGAGGCAGAGCAAGAAGGCCAAAAAGGAGAGGCCGGCGGCGATGGGGTGCAGAATCAGTACCCTCGTAAGAACCTTGGCGCTATCACGGTCGCCCTTGGAGAACGAGACCTGAGTGACCTGAGCCAGGGCGGCGGTGGCATCGTAGCCAACGTGAGAAGAGGTGCAGGTATCCGGTCCACTGTTTATTGTCAGTCTTCTCTTCTTACACACGCGTCGAGGGGGGGCAGAGCGTTGAGAGTACATACTTTGAGTGGATAATACAATATCCAAATGTGCCGTACGTTATTCTGTCTACAGCGTTGCGAGAAAAGTCGACCTTCAAGATGGAGAGGTCATTGACGACAGGCGCCGTGACCGACACAACGATCAGAAGTGCTGTGGCGCAAAGCAGCAGTACTGTGCCGAAGTAGTGAAAGAAAGTACCGACACCCATGATGAAGGATTGAGCCGATTACTGCTGTGTAGATGAAGTCCGATGTGTTCTTTTGTCTTCCCACGAGATGCAAGCGACTGTGAGATCGAAGTCGACAGGAATGAGATCAAGAACGAGAGGTATTGAGCGAGAACAAATAGCAATGAAGGGGTACTCAAAGCAAGGGGCAAGGGAGGCAGACCGTCAGCATATAAGCCCGTCGCGACAGTGCACGTCTCCTGCTGTCTCACGAGGATGAGCGGCCGCCGACAGCAGAATGGGGTACCACAGGGAGGCGACGTCATGAACACGAATGAAATTAGACTTGAATAGAGTTGCCAAGCTCCAAGATTTTCCGCCGGCTTTGGGCCTCTGTCTTGGAAATAGACATGGTCTGGCTGTCCAGATGCGCGGCTTAGACCGCTCCACTCTCGCCTAGCACATGTTGGTGCCGGCTGCCGTTCAATCAGAACAGGGCAAATACCTTCTGGGAGCAGTAATATCGCCGCGTGGGTGCTCTGCTAGTGTTTAGCCGTACGTACAAGTATACAAGTACATCTTGGAAAGGTACAGGCACACGCTCAGGAAGGCATCGCGAGCAGGCTTTTGCGGGCTTCTGGTCAAGGAGCCATGCTGCCTTTCCGGCATGGCGCAGCTCCGCCCACGAGTGTCTCGGGCCAACCAAGGCACCGCGCCCAGACCCTGGCCGGCAGAGAGAAACAATTCCAAAGGCTCCAGGCCGTATAACCGCGTATTGCAGCCCCGTCAGATCACGGCTGAGCCTTGCAGTTCGCGAAGCTGCGGGTGACGTAGCGTCCGTGGCTGCGCTAAGAGATCGCTGCCCTGCTTGGAGCCACAGCGTGGATCCGTTCTGCTAAGCCAAGGCCTGATCCGACAAGGATCCAGGGCCTGGCGTGGCTGCCAAGTCGGAGAGATCTTGGAACACACTGTATGCCATCGTCAACCAGGGCCACGAGAATGAAGCATCAAGATGCGTGGCTTCACTCTGTTCATCTCTGTTCGACTCTACCTCTCCTGCGTCCGCGTAGGGGGCTTCTTGCGCAAAATCAGTCCTCTGTCGTGAGACGCGTGAGGTGAGACTCGCACACAGGCCAACCAGAATCTGGAATCTGGAGACAGTGCGCCACACCCCTGACTCCAACAGCAGTGACGGTGTGATGGCTATGCTTAGTTGCGTTGATGGCGGCCATTCATGTGACGTAAACAGAGATTTTCGTTGACAAGCCTCCAGCATCCCCCCCTTAGTGTGCATGCATGGCCACATCATCGGCGATGGTCGCGTCGTATGTTCGAAATCGCACATGTTATGCGCACATCATCATCATGATGAAGTAGTAACACCAACAATAATCCAAAGCATTGTACTCTGGACGGCCGCATTGCCATGTGCGAGTAGACGAGCGAGAGGGCGAAAATAAGAGAGTCGCCAAATGTGCGCAGATCCAGCATCATCGACTTCCGATTTAGGCAGCAGTTCATCCCTCAGTTTTGTCTTTTTGCAAGCAGCTGTTTCATTTTGGAAGCTGTCAATTGCCTTCCTTGTAAATAGTGTTGGTACCTATCAATGGCATGACTCTTTGCAGAGAAGTATTCCCTGCTTTGATCTAGAATATTAAAATTGGTGTCATTTCTTGAGAGACAACACAACGCGAGAGACTAAGAGCCAACCTTTAATCTTTCAAGCAGTGACATATTGTGCGACAAGCCGCACAGCCCAGCCTCCCACATTTGCAGCGCCGTGTTGCATCTGCCTCTGGGTTATCGTAGAGAACAAAATAAAACGTTTCAGTCATGGCGCATCCATTGTGGAACACAGTCGGTGTCTTTGCAGCGACACTCGAGACACTCTGTGGTAAGAGTCGCGGTAGCCTTGCCGGCTTACTCAGTCGTGCCCTTCTTCATTTTGCTAGGAAGCCATTCCCTAATCCGCTTCATTTTCACTTTGCGCTCCATGCGCAGCGCGCTGCCACTGCTCACAAGCCAATGCGCAAGCCCTACGCTGGCTATACTTTTGGGCAGCGACTGCTTTAGTGTCGCTGCAATGAATGACTGTTCCTGCTCGTACGCATCGGGCCAGGGGATATGCAGTGGTGATCCAGCCATGGCAAATCTGTGGTTGTAATCTGGCGCAGGGAAGATGTGTATCTTAAACTCCTTCTGCCCCTGCGCTGGATCATCATTTAGCCCATCGGACCGTGAGCTCACGCTATTGGTCTGCTCCCCGGTCACTGTCGGCTGTAGGGTGCTGAAGCCTTCGGGTTCGTCTAGATCCGCGACGTAGATGTCCTCCACAGCCTTGCGGGTAGGCTCTGTAACCTTGTATATGAGAGGACTGCTAGCCACCAATCTCTCAGCAGTCGTGGGTTCCTTTGTTATCGATACATATTGGGAATAGTGACTCTTGTAATTCGCAATTATCTCTTGGTTAGGTAGCTGTTCCTTTCTCATGTATGAAAACGTTATGCAACTAATGGGCTGGGACCTACGGGAAGCATCTTGAAAAATTCAACCGGTCCATACTGCTCCAACACCTGCAGAATTGAGCGGCGTTCGGCGAAGGTGATTGGCGTAGGGGAAACGAGCACACGTATCGACCTTTCGCGAAGCGTCCGGTCCCGTAGCTGGCGGGCTACATTCCCAACTGCTGCCATGAATGTGCGGCGTGGCGGTTCTAGAGAGGCGTAAATGGAATGCAATGTCTGATGCGAAGAACTATCAAGATGCAGCCTCGTCGGTATAAACTCAGGTCACCTAGCTCGGTACTTCACTAGCCACTGAAAGAGCGCGGTGCGCGGAGTACCTATACCCTTTTAGTGGGCTCAGCGCTAACTGTCGGCCCGCCACAAGGCTGTCGAACAATGGAAGCTAAGCTGAGCTCCGACAACATCACAGCTGCATATCCGCGTGCTTGCTCCAGTGCCTGCAATTTCGCTGCAGCCACTTTCTTCCACCTGTTATGTGCCCTTTGATGGGTTACAAACTGATGCATTCGAAAGGCTGATCAACGATCCTCAGGCTTTCTCGCCTCCCTTGGCTGTCCATTACTCCGCCGCGTCGACGACTTCATGATTTCGACCATCTCACGACTCTCGACGACCACGTTTTAGCTACGAATTGCGCATACACAATCCCTACAATGGCGACACCAACGCCTATGAGGCATGCGCCCTCACAGCAGGGACGCACGCCCTCGCATCAGGGCCCAACGCCGTCACAGATTGCGGGTGCGACGCCGCCCATCTCGACGCCATTTTCCAACGCCGCCCAGGCTGCATTTTCGCCTCGGGGTCAGCGATCACCGCAGCAAGTTAAGAAATCGCCAGCGACATCGACACTGATGGGCCAATCGGGCATGGGCGCGCTGAATTTCGACAGCCCTTCAACTGCTGCCGCTATGGGCGCACTGGGCATTGGCGGAAGCTTCGATATCGGCCTCGAGAATGTCAGCGTCGGCGAGCTTGATTCACTAAACGCTTCATTCGCCAAGGAGGACAAGTTGAAGCGAGAAGACGACAAACTCAAACGACTGGACCATATCCTCGAGTTATTAAATGTACGTGTGCCCCCGCATCGCAAATAGGAAGCCCCTATAAAACTGACTTATCATCGCAGCAGAAGAAAGGCTTCGTCAGCGAAGCCGGCTTGGAACGGCTTGCTCAGCGCCTCGGCCTTGAACTGCTGTCTGAAGAGAATACAGCCCCAGATGGACGCAAAAAAAAGACGTTGGCCATTGCAGGTTCTGCTATTGCCGTCGACATCGTACTGGATAACAACATTGTCCAAAATGTGTCTTTAGCCTACCATGGATCGGCGCCATCAGTTCATAAGCAAATGGAAGCAGCCAGCCACATTCTGTTAACGGACTTGAAGCTTGGTCCTAACCAAAGTCCTCTCACGAAAACGCTGGACAAATTCGCATATAATTTTGAACATATAGCCAACCTAGACAAACTCAGCATTATTCCCGGTCTTGACTGTTACGAGGCTCTAGCTGGTATCTATACTAGCTTAGAGAGATTGCACCAGTGGGACATGGCAAATCTGCGAAAGGAGCCGGAGATGGAGGGCAAACCGGATCATCACCTATCTCTAGCTGCTCTTTGCACTCGACACGGTTATCCTGTCATGCACGCACGAAACAAGGTCGGGCTCGCTTTGCAGTACTGGAAAGAGCTGCGGTTCGTACCCCCTTCAAACGACAAAATAAGTTCACCTTTGGAAAACGAGAAGATTTGGTCCCTTTTGCTTGATTGTGCACCTATTGAAGCACTTGGCCTGCCTACAACTATCGAAACCATGGGGCCGCCGCCTGTCAGAGTATCTGAAGACTGGATCTCCAAAGAAGTGGCGAAAGATGTCCACCAGGACCAAGGCCAATTACTGAATCCTACTCCCTTCCCCATTCTTGACTGGCAAGAGCCAGAGAATATCTCACTCCCATCATCGGATGAGAATAAAAGTGCGACTATTGGCGTTTTGGGACTGGATCTCTCATTATCTCCTCAGGTCATGTTTACTGTTACGTTCGATCCGCCTGTCATCCTTCCGCAAAATGACTACGCCCGACTCTACGCCTACGCGGGTGCTGAGCCGCCCAGCCCAGATCCTAGCGAGTTTGAGCAACGTTCCCCTCCAACATTTGACGATTTATTCTTCCCAATGTTGGCTCAGAATAAGCAAGATCCCAGCGAATCGAGGACGGTTACTCGCCTGCGTGACGTCCGTGTTTTCGACCAGCAGGGAAAATCGTCCATGAGGAGTCACCATAACACGCTCTTCATCTACAAGCCCATTTATTCCAGAACAGTTACGCAGATGCCCTTTTCTCATCCTCGCCAGCTCATTGACATGCTCCCACTTCTTCGGCAATTCGCCTTCCTTTCCACCTTGATGAACAATAGCTTTGGGTCTAAAACTAAAGAGGATTCACCCAAGTCAAGCAAGGCTTCTGTTGCCTCTAAGACGGTCAAGGACGAGTTGGCAACTTTTATGGATTTCAGCGACGATGAAGCCAGGGAAGATGAGAAAGCCAAACAAGAGACCACTCAAGAAGCAGATAAAGAGAAGAAAGAGGGCAATGGAACTGCGAATGATGTGGATATGGACGTCATATTATGGGTTCATCCATCACCGCACCTCCAAGTCGTCTTCCCCGTCAAGGACTCCACCATTGACATTACACTTCGCATCCTGGAAGGCGGCACGGTAGAGATTGTCAACGAAAACGTTATTGAACAGCATGAAAAGGAGAGCAAGGGCAAAGGAAAGCCGATCAGTAGAGAAGATCTCGGCAAGGCGCTTGAACGGCTCGAGGATCTGTGTAAGTGGGCTGAATGGATTCGCACCCGGCTGTGGCAGAGTTAATAGAATGTTTTAATAAATCTATTTGATACCCTTTGAGAATTGTCTGTTTGCTTGTCTTTGTTCTTTAGTGTGTGTTGTATTATCAGACACAGCACTCGTTGTCTGGTTTAATTGAACAAACCTATTCTGCCAAGTGCTCCCTTTGTCAACTGTTTGCTTCCCGTCAAAGACAATTGACTTATACAGTAACATCGCGAAAACACCACGTTTATGTCTATCTAAAACAGTATTGACGAAAATTGCTACTATATCTACGTCGACATTCCCCTCCCAATCTCTCTCGAGACTTCTCAGCAGCCACAGCCCCCAGTCAGCAACGTCCATCATCGTCGTCTCCAACGTTCACTTCAACAACCTCTGCAAAATGTCATGCCCAACTTCCCCCCTAGACAAACCTCTTCCGCCGATCCCTCCCAAGAATCCTCTCAGAGCCCTCCCACCAATTCCTGACAGAAACCCTCTCAGACTCCTTCCAATCCGCCCCAGAAGCCCCTTTACAACTCCTCCTCCCTTTCAGCCTCTGCCCGCAACACCCGCAACACCCCCAATCCCCGCTAGAGACCCTCGAAGGCTCTCTCAAGCGTCAATTCCCCAAAATCTTACTCAACCGAAAGACTCTTCTCGTCCTGATTCATTTACTCTTCCGCCCACAACTGCCCTCTCCCAAAACAGCGGCCTCGCCAATCCCCAACTCGATCTCGATGCTCTGCACCTCCTCACCCAAGAAGGCTTCTATCACGTCGAATTTTACCCCGCTCAAGACTCATCCCCTCTTCAAGTACAATATTGGCTTCGCGCAGAGGACGTTCTGGTAGGTCTTCCGGGAAAGGGCCGTGTTCCATCGGGACATTGGCCGAAACTTGTGCAGCTCGCGCAAGAGACGAACATTGGGCAGAGAAGTGGTCAAGAGTCAGAGCGAAAGAGCCTAGAGGTCCAAGAGATGAGGCTTTTGACCGCGTTGTATACTCCTGGGCAAGAAGAAAACACTGTGATGGACGTCGTGGATACAAAAGAATAAACAACACCATTCAAGAAGAGGACTCGCCTCAGTAGGTAAGTGTATGTCAAGATGGGGCATTCGTGGCTATGAATTCAACTTGGATAAGATTTTGGTACGTTATCAGGTTATTGCCAATCAGCTTATAATTCTAGCAACTTGAACAATCGATTTGATTAGGAATGTATTTTGCAATAATCTTTGCATAGGAGGCTGTCTTGAAAACTATGTTGCTGGTGTTCAGAGCTGGTGCGCTATGGATTGACTGTTGGAGGCTTTAACTAGGTGATTGAACATAGGCATTGTGCGAGTTATTTATGAAACTGAAAAAAGAAATTTTAAGTTACTATCAGTATGACAAGATCTTTTGATCCAACTCTATGTGTGTAAGTATGTACGTCCATCCATAATCGATATGGCGGCACTTGAATAAACCAACAAAACGCCTTGATTAGACTGTCCTGCATCTTAATTACATCTTCATCCTAAATTCCTTTCCCACTATTCTAATATACTCATACTACTTACAACAACATAGCAGCCAGGGCACCAACGAGAGCAAGAGTGCTCAAGCCAGTGCGCTCAGCGCCGCTGCCCACGGGAGGGAGACAATCAGCGCCAGTGCAGCCACCCAGGCCGCTGGAAACAGGGACGGGGGGCTGACCGGTAGCAGCAGAGCTGCCGCCAGTGCCTACAGGAGTGGGCACACCGACGATGCTGGATGCCCAAGTGTTGACGGGACCTGATCCCGGGGCGCTGGGAACGTTGGAAGGAGCACCAACGGGGACAACGGGGACAATGCTGGGAGCGTTGCCAGGAGCATTGCCGGGAGCGTTACCAGGAGCGTTACCAGGAGCGTTGCCGGGAGCGTTGCCGGGAGCGTTGCTGGGAGCGCTGCCGGGAGCATTGCTAGGAGATCCAGCGGGAGCGATGGGAACGGCGGGACCGACAGGAGAAGAGGGCGCCACAGGGACACCAGTCTGCTGGCCAGCAGGGAAAGTAGTGCGGACAACCTCAGTGGAAGTGCGAGCAGGGCAGTTGGTGATGTCGGCGGCGCAGCTGGTGATGGTGTGAACGACGGTGATGTCGGTGGTGATGGTCTCAGGACCGCTAGGAACACCAGCTGAGCCAGCAGGAGGAGGAGGAGCCGCGGTAGTGTGGGCAGCCAGCTCAGAGCTGGACTCAGCTTCCTGGACGGGGCAGACGGTCGTGTACAGAGCAATGGTCTCAGTGGTGACGGTGGGGCGGAGCGGGCAGTTAGTAACCTCAGGAGGGCATTGAGAGATAGTGTGGACGGAAGTGGTGAAGACAGTCGAAGTGGTCAGCTGAGGAGCGGAAGAGATGGCAGAGCCGGCACCGGTAGCAGTGACGGAAGAGTTGCTCCATCGGCTGGTGGCGACGATGGTACCGGTCACGGCAGGGGCGGAGGAGCCAGCGGCGGCAGACTGGCTGGAGATGGCAGAGGTGGGAACGACAACAGCAGAGGATGAGGCGGCCTTGGAAGTAGCAGCGGCCTTGGAGGTAGAGACAACAGCCTTGGAGCTGGTGGCCTTGGAGCTAACAGCCTTGGAAGTAGTAGGCTTGGCGGTGCTCTGGCTGAAGTAGCGAATGTCCTGGATCTGGAAGTAGGACTCGGCGAAATCACCAGGGAACTTGGAGACGTAATCAGCGCAAGTGCCCTGGCCAGTGGTGGCAGCGCAGCTCTGCTGCCAGAAGGCGGGAGTGCCAACGGGGTTACCGCAGAAGTCGATGTCGAGGATGAGGCGCTGGTTGGCGAAGTGGCTGTCGATGTTGCAGTTGGAGTTTGCCAGGTTGGCCACGGGAGTGCCCCAGGTAGCGGTATCAGGGTTGGATGAAGCCAGGTTGGCAGGCTCAGCACCTCGGGCCCAGTTGTACAGCTTGATGTAGTCGCTGGTCCACTCGATGGCATCTAAATAGAGGTGGTCAGGTTTCCGTCTCGCGAATGAAAAGCATCGTTATTACTTACAGGTACCACCGCTGGGAGAAGCCCAGGGACCGGTGCTGTCGGTGGTGGTGCAACCCTGGTTCAAGTACTGGCTAGGGGGGCTCTGGAAAGTGTTGTCACAGTTGGGGGTAACAACGGGAGCCGACTGGCCGGCACTCTGGAGGGTACACTGGCCAAATTGGCTCGAGCTGCCAACGTGGAAGGCAGGCTGGTTGTCGAGGATGTTATTCCAGCCCTCGTACACGTCGATCTCTCCACCACTGGGCCAGTTGTCACCAAGAGTCCAGAAAGAGGGCCAGCTACCGCACTTGTTGGCGGGCAGATGAGAGAATCGGGCAACGATGAGGCCGTGCTTGTAAGAGGCTGTGGACTCGAGTCTGATGGAGTTACGGCCAGCGAAGCCGGAACCCTTAAGGACGGTCTGGTGGTCGACTCCGAGGTAGACTTCGTTGTTGCTGGTGATCTTTGCCAAGCCTTGTGCCTGAGCATTGGCGAGGTTCTGGTAAACCACGAAGCCAGAGTTGGTGTCGGGTTCCTATACTATCAGTTAGTGGGATACGTTCGACAAGTAGCCCTGTGGCAATGAGTATCATGGATATCATAGAGAGCCATACGTCGGTGAAAGTAAACTTCTGGAAGAAGTTGGTGTGGTCGTAAGTATCGGCCAAGGTAAACTGAGTAGCAACAGCACTTCCGGCGCAGGCCAGGAGCGCCGTGCTAAGGGCGTTGAAAGAAGGCATTTTCGAATTAAGAATTGACAAAAGCTCGAGTTTCGTCTGAAGGAATGACTAAAAGTACTTTTATATATTCCGTTGAAATGAATGTGCTTTCGACGTACGATACGTCAGAGGACGAGCTAAGTGGCTCAAGTTGTCGTTGTAGACGAATGAAGTTGACGAAGGAGTGCGTGATGAGACACTTGAGAGGAGCAGTCGTCCTTCTTTTAGGCAGAACGGCCCTCGACCCCTGGGTCCCCTTTGGGAAGCTTATTCATGGAGGCAGCATGCTCGAAGTAACTTTCACAGGCAAGGCCATCAATATTGGTGGGTGAGGAAGTCCACAACGGCCTTCAAGCCTTGGCCCATACCCTTGTTTGCCCACCATCAGATCCTGTTGCAACAGGGGTGCCGCCGTATCGAGCATATGAGTAGAGGCGAATGCCCGAACAGATCAGGGGACTCTCTGAAATGGACCCATTTTGGGCATGCGGGAAGCAGTAAACGCCCAATCACTTGAAAGTAAACATGGGGACGGCGAATCATGTAGATGATCCGGGAGGGGAGCCGAACCAAGTTGGTAATGGGTCCGAACCCTACTGGGCTGGCTCCCAAACAAAAACAGACAGAAATAGAACTGCGAGATTGCAATTCTACAGCGAGACGCCGAACCATCGGTCCCCGTATTCAAGATCAACACTGGCTATCGGTAGCACATGCAGTCATAAAGTCAAAGCGATGAAACCAGCAGGCGATCATCAGCCACCATCCTATCTCAGTATAGCAACGGCGTTTGAGCATGAACTACCCTCCTACCACAAAAGACATGTGCATTCTGCAGGTGGTGAATCAACCCATCCCCCCTTCTGCGACGGAGCCGCTAATGCAGGAACTGCATGGGCGCCAGGGGCGAAACATTTACTCTGGGCCTTTCACGTCCTCGAAGAACGAAGATTTCTTCAACACCCTTGTAAGCCAAGGAAAGCCCAAGCAGGAAGACGATTGGTTGCAGCCGTGAATCCAGACAAGAGCGGGATTCGTAAAGGGTATCCACACTCGTCGTATACGAAGCAACGGCCTGCCAAATGCCAGAAAGCGGCTTCTTGAAACAAAGCGGCAAACCCACTCCGCTATTCCCGTAAGTTTCGATTCTTCATGCCTTGGGCCGAAGCGTAAGCACCCTGATATGGCTTGATACTCCATTAATCACCCTCAATTTGGCGGAGTATCCCCGGCATAAGGGCGAGAGACAAATGCGTCCTAGAAAACCTTGTGTATACGCTCCAGCTGCCAGCCTGTATGCGAGTCGAACTTTATAATCCGGCCTATCCGATTTGGGAACGTGAAGAAAACAACGTGCTGTGGTTCTCCATGCAGGTTTGGTGCCGCGCAATTCCTTCTGTCTGGCATAAGAGGCCTGCGTCCAGTCCCACTTGGGTATTCGCCGAAACGCTGCGCCACGTAAGGAGGGTAGCATGAGATATGCGTGCCTATCAACGAATGCCCACACGGCCATTCTTTCACATCTCTATCATATGTAGGAAATGCTAGTGCTCCGTATCAGCTGCGGACTTCCGACCTGCAAAGAGGATGAATGGCCTCGCGTCAATCTTGGCGCAGCGATGCATCTTGAAGAACCGCGATGGCCATCACTCCGCAATGAGACGGCCCCAGTTTCGAGGCGAGAGAGGCCGCAGGGAGCTCGATCGACTCCAGCATTCCGAGATTCTGCGAGACCAAAAGGGAAAAAGAAGAGCTCTGGCGAGGACCTCAAAGCGATGATCGCAGTGCTCAGTGCACACGATCGACATCGCGAGGCAGCGGAAGACGGAGATTTTCCCTCCGTATGGTACTCGTAAGTGCAAGTGCAAGTGCTTCAACGGCAGAGGCGCCGAAACAGGGAGGCTACAGGGCGCTAAGGTGCCCGTTTAGCTGTCTCCTGTCGCTAAAATGCACCATGATTGGACGCCCGCAACGACAAGCCAGGGGCTGCTGCCTTAGCCTAACCTTCGTGTTCCAACTGTCTCTAGCAACACACCACCAACCTCGAGCAAGATATCAAAATAACAACAAGTATCGTATATGCAGGTTATCATTGATTACAATCATCACAACTCCCGAAACATGTGCATCCAGATAATAAAATCAAACTCACAACGACACTTCAACAAGGGTGGGTGAAGCTACATGTGGCCGAAAACCCACTTCCAGGTTTTCTCTCGGAGACTCCTTGGAAGCTTCCATAAAGCTCCACCCGGCACCAAGCTTCCATGTCCCATTTTCAGGGGCGCTTCCGGGCATCATTTGTGCAGCCGTTCATCTACCGAGTAATCACCAAATCGCTTCCGCGCGAGCTGAGAAATCCTCAGGTGTCTCTGCAAGCCCCATTTCGCCTATAGTCTCCCCTGTTGGAGTGACCACGCATGCATTGGGTTCTAGACATTCGAGATCTATATTGATCTTGTATGCTTCTTCATCTCATTAGTCTTGCAGTTTTTCTGGAGCATATCAATTTTGAAATACGAGCAGTATCACACAAGTGTTACTCCTGAACGCTCCCTTGCTAGCTGTGGCGAAATAACTGCTCGTGATGCCTGCCAGGGCGGTAAGAGTCTAGAGTTTCATCTTTGCGAGGCCTGCTAGCTTTCAGTTTTCCGATTTTGTGACTTGTTACGGCTTACCATGTCGGGAATTCTAGAGCACTGCAGTTTGAAAAGGACTATGCTGTGGTAGGTATTCTGAAGTTGATGGTAAATGCCTTGGCTTAGACATCTTGTCATCTACTCTATGTCTGGCCTATAACGAATTTCAAGTAAGTGTTATAGATGTCTTATTTTTTTTCGTGGACATCTGATATCATTTCAGCTTCTTCATAAATTCTCTCATCCCAACTTTCGCCGTCTGTGTCGTCTTCCCATCAACCTTCACATTCCTCACACGCACCCAGCTCTCGTCCGCCATCTGCACATAGAATGCATCGTGCTCATCATCCACTCTGACATTCCTCTGAACATCATGTCCTTCATTCCCTCTCTCGAACCGAAATACGATGTCTTCACTCCTTCCCGTCACGTCAAGCTCAGACACGCTCTCGGCGTTCAAAAACAGCACCCGCTTGAACTTTCCTTTGTCGTTTCTCGCGTGCGTCCATACCGTGCTGAAGATATTAAGGAAACGTACAACATCTGTAGAGCTCCACTCAGGCCAGTTGATTTGAGATTCCCCTTTGCTCACTTTCGGTGCGTGGACAAGCTCGTCTCCTTTCAGCTGGTCGGCCATCCACCCGGCATTCGTATACGGCGGCACATGCACCCCGTCCCGTAGTCCCTGAACAAGCATCTCCGCGCCTAATTTAGCAAGAGATTCTGTAAGCTGTTGCAACGTAGTACCAGCTGGGATAGATATGCCTGGAGATGGCGTCTGAGCGAGAACGACCCCGTGGTCAAAAGCTTTGGGATCCAACGTTTGTAGAGACACGCCGGTGTACTGTTCGTTGCGCATCATGGCATGGTGAATTGGAGCTGGTCCGCGCAGACTATGATTCTAATGAGCAGATCGAATACTAGAGTAGAATTTGACAACGGAGAAACTCACTGTGGTAAGAGAGATGGATGAACATTCAAACCGCCATATTTTGCTGAATTCAATATCCTTGGTGGCACAAAGAGTCCAAACGAGACAACTACGATTAAATTGGTCCCTTCAGGTATCTATCATCAATTGATCAGCCTTTTTAAATCTTGCAAGTACGGCATGGGAAAAGACCCTTACACTCCACCCTCTAAATGTCTCTCGCTGATGTGTTCTCAGTCCCAAATGCTCCGCAACAGACTTACACGGTACTATCTAAACATCAGCATCATTTCATAAACCGTAAAGAGTCACGCTGCCAACCTTCTGTAATCTCTTTGAAACCCCTTCCCGTTCGTCTCGGCGGCAGAACCATCACATCCAAAGACTCAATCAGCTGTCTGTTACTCTCATGTTCTCGATGCAACGCGCGCAAAGATTCGCAGCTGAATGCATCTGAGCCACAAAAGAGAACTCGTAGCGGATCAGACGCTTTTTCCCCCACATCAGATGAGAAACATCGCCATTGAGAAACGGCGAATCTCAGCCGCAGAGAGGAGAATTGGCTGGAAAATGAGCGAATCATAATAGAACTAGCATTTGTTGTATATGAATTGAGCGGAACAAAAGAAGAGCTATTTCCTCACAAAGGAAACAGTGGCTTGGTACAGATGTTGATCTTTCGATCGCTAGCTGCAGGGTACATGGATGATGATTTCGCTGGGCTTAAAACTCGCGTTTGGTGCAAATATGGGTTACATGCATCACCATCCACACGACCAACGTCAACGCCAACAAACTACACATTGTGGCTTTCAATTGTTCCAACAAAATACACTAATATGTCTCTGTATTCTGCCATTTCCAATCAATCCAAAGCTATGCTCCATTCACACGCCACATTCCAAATACTTCCCTCCAGCTCAACCTCCCACGTAGGCTGTTCAATCATCACTACGCTTCCCACATCCACTTCCGCTCTCTTGCCTAAGCCAGTCAATTTTCCTTCTCCAGCCAATATCCATTTCTGCGGCACATCTCTTGAAGATGCACGGCCTTCTACAAGATACATTCGCCTCCCCGATCTGATCTGCTCCACGCCAATCTTCACCCCCAAAGTGGTTTTCTCGCCGTTCTCTTCCCAGCTCTTGACTTCCGAAAGCCACCCCTGAAGCTGGGCTGCCATCCCCCCCGTGATGTATTTCGCCCCTCTTCGCTGCGGCGAGAAAGCTGCTGGGAGGCCACCGTGATGATCATCATCGATTAAGGGCTTGAACCGTGGCGCCTGCTGAAATACAGGCTGCTGCAGAGCCTTGGTGTCCGACGCGACTATAGGCGATTCCTCACTATTGTCTGTGCTCATTACCGAACTCTCATCTTCGGAATCGGCAATAGCCATATCGTAGGCCCCATAGTCAATATCCTCTCCATGTGCCGGTCCACCCGTCTTTTGGATATTCGGCAACCCAAGCATGGGTGTGGGTGAAATCGACATCTTTCGTCTTTTTGCTTCTCTTCCCTCCTCAAACCCCTGCGAGGCTTCACTTGTGCTTTGCGACTGAATATCAAGCCATGAATGAGCCTTTGGATTTTCGCCGACGTCTGACGATGGACTTTCCTGGGACGGTGAGCCAGCCTCCGACTCGATATCAAGCCCATGGCGGCGAGAGCCGCGTTGCGTGGCTCCTACGGTGGCTTCTCCGTCATCACCAGACAGACTGGACTCAGATATTACATCTTCATCCTCTTCTATCTCGAGCTCCCTACCCTGTGTAGGCCTGGGTGCTGAAGAGGAGCCAAACCGAGGCGTGGAATGAAATTGAGGGGGAGCACCCGGTGTCTGCGACGACGACTGAGTTGACCGCTTGGGAAGTAGAAATCGCCGTGGCGTTGGCGTCTATCATGTATGTCAATTCATCAGTAATTCTCACATTCGATGCGCTAATCTGGGGTGGATGAAACTCACGCTGGGAAATGGATTCATTATTCGATCAACGCATTGCTGTTACTCCCCTTCGCTTCATCTTGATGGTGCAATAGGAGCTATACAAGAAAAGAACTGCCTGATCATCACTAAAGCGTTCCTTAACTCGCGCGCTGAGAATCTCACTCAAGATGAAGAGGTGCCCATGTTACGAAAGCGTTTGAGAGAGAAAGAAGGCAGATTCCGTGCATGCACTTAAGCGGTACCTACCGTGGGGCAAACGTTGAATAATCCGACCGACGCTGTCGGAACAAGAGGCTCCGAATCTAGGCCAATCGAGGCGCCTTTCATTCGCTCAAGTATATGTAGAAACTGACCTACATTTCGGAGCAGTACCTTCAATCTCAACTATTACTTCACAGGCAGATATGGGAAAATATTTATGAGCATTCGAAAACTTCATTTGAATTGCTAATAAAAACATTATGCACAAAAGTAGCGACAGTCAAAACATTACTACTGGCACTCTTCGTCCACGCCATGCTAATTGTACAGCCTCAATGCCATAAAAGACAATGCAATCTTCCAAGACTTGGCCGCTGTTTGTGATTTTGATAAATAAAATAGAAAAGAGAAAAAGGAAAAAAAACAAGTTTCTCTCGTAATACCATCGTGCAACCAGGTAGGAATGAGCAAATAACCAGCCCGCAAAGTCCGACACCAACATCATAAAAAAATTAATAAACGCCGGGCTGTATATACATCTCTCACCAAATTTCCCTCCGTACGTTGCGTAGTTTTTTTGCCATGATGAATATTTGCGCTTGTCAACAATCATAGTGTGTCACCCCTCTCGTTCAAAACGACCACTTTCAAGCCAGCGAACTCTTCGATTGAGCCATAGGCGTTGTCGTGGAATAATAAAGATATACGAATATGCAATATCCTAGAAGGTAATAGCAATAAAGAGAAGATGGAAAAAGCAGCAGAATTTGTTTGAACAAAGCTGGTATAGAGAAACAAAGGCTCAATGAGATGTATGAAATGCATCCAATGTAGCTAAACAAAGGAAACAAAGAAAAAGGAACATCAACCCCTTCAGGGTAGAATCGAGCTCCTTTAGCCGTAAAACAGTTCAAAGCCAGTCTTATGACCTTCTTTTGTAGGCTTTGTATCTTTGACAGGATGGAGCAAGATGGTTGGCAGACACGGTCGTCCGTGTGTCTGCTCCCATTCCTGGCCTCCCATGCCTGTATCAATCCAGCCCATCCAGTTGTTGTACATTCGGTTCGGTGGCTCTGCTCGGTAGTACCAAGAATTACCCTGGTATCGTCGCTCTCTACCCCAACCCATGGGGCTTCCATATCCACCGGATTCTCCCTTGGGGCCAGGGTTGAACCACTGGTTGAGGAATTTACCGTTCCAGTCGCGGTCCGTAAAGATGGGATGCGGGGCATAAACTGCCTTGAGGCCATGGAGCAAGGCAACGGTCTGAGGTGTCATTTCGGAGGCAACGTGGTTTCCACGCAAGTTCTCAACGTGCATGATATCCAAGAGACGCTTGGACAGACGAGAGTGGGTGACAATTGTGGTACGACGAGGAAGATCGCGGGCCCTGTGCGTCTTGTCTGAATATCCCCAAACATTATCGCGGATAATCCAGTTGCTGTTCACAGGATCGAAGATTGGACCCAGAGTGATAAAATCCGCCTCTTCGCCAACGCCCCATGAATAGTTATCTTCTTCCGCTGACTTCACCGGAGGCTTAGGGCCAACTGGCGTGATGAAAGGCAGGTCAGGGGCACCCCAGACGGCAGATCCGCCATAAGTTTCCTCGACTTCCTTTCGGAAGGTCGTATCATAGTCGCCATGGTGCTCAGGGATAAACCACCGCTCATTCCTCTCCCAGGAACCTCGGCGTGGCTGCTTCGCGGAGAACTTGGCCAGATTATCAACCATGTCGTAGTGATGGCCAGTTACGCGGAAGTCCATTTCCCAGTTCCAGATATAGTCGAATTCGGGATGATCAATGCTGAATTTCTGAACACTTAGCCATTGTGCCGTGTGAACGCTACGCTCGTTGTCGTCCGTGAGTTTAGTATAAATGTCCCAAACCTGTTGATCATTCCATAAAAGGGTGATGCCATGGAACTCGACAGGAATGTGCTTCTGCAAAACTCCTCGGTACACTTCATGGTCATCGAGGTGAGTTACGTCCTTGTCCTTGACCTGAACAAGCAAGAATATCTCGAATTCGCCACCAGTCTTGAGAGAAAGCTCGCTAATCATGGCACGAATCGTCTCCTTGTCGTTCTCGGTGTAGACTTTACCCGTGTACGAACGAAGCAAAACCGCGGAGCGTTTCTCTTTGACAACGTCAGAGCTGTCTTTCTTCGCGTCTGGGTCAGCTGGGTCAGCTGGGTCAGCTGGCGATCGTCCCTTAATCTTCAAGGTCTTGTCGTCCAAATTGGGGAATTCGCCTGACGGCTCTTTGTCTTTCTGGGTTTCAGGGGCCTTGCTTGCTTCTCCGTCCTTCTTGTCATCTTTTTTAGGAGCCAGAGATTCCGCAACTTCCGGATAAACGCTTAAAAACTCGTTCTTCTTTTCCTTGCTAAGATCGAATCTTGCGGCGTTAGACTGAACACATCGCTGTACCAGGTCGCCCCAGTTAACATTCCCCCAATCGATAACCTCGACTTCGCCGCCAACTTTTTTCGTTTGCTGGAGCAAACCATAAGGGCCTAAACGTGTATCTCGCTCCCAGCACAAGTTGGGATCCATGTTAAGCAGAGAGTAGCTTCCAAACTTGGGTTCAGGGAAGTTGTGGGGACGTCCTTTGAAAACCAGCAGGTCTTCGACAATCTCTCCAGATGGACCCTTGCACGGCACATAAGAAGCGTGCTTCGCCTTCTTCCACGTTTCACTGTTGTAGTCCGGGTACGGGTTAAATCGAACGGGCTTATCGACGCTGAAGCCAACGGTGGCATCGGGGTCTTCCCTAAGCTTCTCTTCCAGCGCTTCGGTGCGGTTCTCCTTGTAATCAAGAGTTGAGAGCGTGTTACCGTAGATCTTGTTGGATGACTCGAGGCTAACGAAGCACAGTGTCAGCATTGAGTTGCCGTGAAGGGGAAAATATTCAGCGGATTTGACTTACTTTGCAGTGGTTTTGTACGCATATCTCCACATCTTCCTCATATCTTTCTCATGCTGCAGTCTGCTGATAGTACCAGAGTCTCTATCCTTTCCATCGGTTTCATAGCCAGGAGCGACGTCGTTGGGATCTTCCTTGTCGGCAGGATCCTTCCACTGCCGTAAATCTTCAATGTTCAGGTCCCAGGATTCCAGCATTTCCAGCTCCTTGTTATAAGTGTCGATATCCATGTTGAGAGGCTTCTCTTCTTTCTCCTTTTCGGGCTCTATAGGCTTCTTCTCTTCTTCTTTTGGGCTCTCGTCTTCATGTTGCTTCACGTCTGTCGACGGTTTACCGTCCTGAAGCGAGCCATCGTCGGCGTCTGCAGTGGCTTGGTCGTCGCCCTTGTTGTCACCTACCGGCACCTGAGAAGCTGGGGTGTTGGGCTGGGTGCCCTGCGTGACGCGCTGGTCGGGCAGGTAGGGCACGATATTGAAACGCGGGCTTGGGCCGCTGAAGAGCAGATAATAAGACGTAACAGAGGCGAGAATAATGAGGAGCAGTATTCTCACCCGCGGTCGGCGCTGATTGGGATTGAACATCTTGTCCAAGCCCCGGAAGCGGTTGCTTCGAATATGGATTCGGATGTGATACAGCGAGCGTTTGTGAGTGTTGAGTGAGATGGTCGAGAGCTAGAAGATATATAACTTGATTGCGGGCTACCAGAGCTCTCTCTCAAGTTTGCATGTTTCGAGGTCGTACAAGTGGTTGTAGTTGCCAAGCACTTGCGGCTAGCGACGCAGCTTCTGTTGGCGGAGGCTTCCCGTGTCCTGTGCGGAAGTAACCAGTGTCGTCGGATGTATAACAGGAATTGGCCAAGATGCGCTTCGCCGTTTGATCGTAGCAATGGTCGTCGGCTCAAGACTCTCTCTGTCGAGGTCTCACTGTCGCGGGGTGTAAACGTAAACTTAAAAAGAGAGACTAGGGGGCTGTTACAGCCGTAAAGGAGAGTAAAGAAAAGGAGGACAGTCTGCTCCGTACCAGCCTCTACAATTGCGATGCAGAAGGGGCCAGACAAAGTGCTATCGCGCGCACAAAAAACGAGGTGTCGCAAGCGAGCGAAGGAAAAGAGTCGGAAGTTTAACCAGCGCGATCTTGCAAAGAGAAGAACTTGGCAGACGTCGTGCGACGATGGAAATAGCGGGAAGCCTCGCGCAGGGAGTGGAGTCTACGGCCACTTTTAGTGGTACAGCGCCTGTAAACCGGCTGGGCGCACAGCCTTCCAAGTTTCCTTTGCAGCGCTACAGTGGCCGCCAGCGTATCTCAATGGCGTCCCACCTGCACTGTCTGTCGGAGCGACATGGCGGGGGGTCTTCAAAATTACAGCGGGGAGGGCATAGGGGGCTGGCCAACGAGCGGCTCATAGTGCTTGTGGCCGCCACAGTAATCAGTCTCCAGCACCACAAATGGCTGCGACAGATTCATGATTGTCGATCAGAGGAGCAAAGAACGCGCAGAGGCCACAGTGCATGTGTACCTGTAATACTGGATTGCGTACGCAGCGAGTATAAGGAGAAAACTCTGCTGCAGCTACCTCGACTTTGTCTCTGTCAGGGGCAGCACGACAGACAGGCTACGCGTCTGGACTGAGGTGCCATTATCTGCGAGAGTTGCCTCTGGAAGGTACCTGTATCTAGCGCTTTTCTGGTGTAGTGCTTGCGCAAGGTTTTACAGTAGACGGAAATGGCCTATCCTGTTAGGAGCTGCTGCTGCAGTAGCCGTAAGCACTTGAGCAATTCGCAGCCGGTCAGAATCCTCAATTTCGACTTGCCGTCTCTCGCCCTATTGCCTTTACCATTTGCGCAACTCGTCGGCGCATCTTATCACCACGCAAGCTCCATTATGTTTTCTTGTTCTCCTATCAATCATA